ATATTTATTTGAAGCTCAGACCCTGCAAACTAAATCTACCCTGCAAACTTTTTTTTTTGCAAAGCTCGGGGGCAACTAATTTTAGAATGTAAAAGAGGGGCAACTTTGATTGCATATTTCATTCATTTGGCTACAGACTGAGACCAAAAAAATAGTTTATATTTATTTGAAGCCCAAAGCAAATATAATTTATATTTATTTGAAGCCCAGAGCAAATAAAATCTACCCTGCTTTTTAAAGCTCGGAGGCAAATAATTTTGGAATGGAGATTAGGAGCAAACTCTAGTAATACCTTGAGTCATTTCGACTTGGAAATAACCACAGAACTAGGTCAGTTTTAAATATTAGAACCTGATCATTTCAACTTGCATAATGTACAATCACGTTGATATTTTTGAGGTAAAAAGTACATGGACAAACTGGAAATATGGACAAAAAATCTTGCAAATAGAGCTGACAATTTTACAAGGAGAAAGTATGAAAGAAAAATAAAAATCCCTATCAACAGGATCATTGGCCTGCAAGTGGTCACAGAACACATTAGCCTAGACCCATCTTTCAAAAGGGGGCAGACTAGGAGACACTTTCCAAAAAGTACCAGATTTGTTGGGCAATTCACAAAATATGACGGCAGACACTCACATTTGGACACAAAATCTCATAAATGAGGATCGTATTCATTTTATATAAGGATACACAACTATTCCAGCAATTTATTATAGAAAGGGGATATACTCAGAGCATATTTTTCAAACTACACCAGTTATTTTGGGAATTTGCAAAAATTTCAAGGGAGACACTCGAAAAATAGACACTAAATCTCTAAAACGGGGAGATTAATTTGTTCCTTTTTTTATAAATAGAGAACCATGTAATGAAAAGGATACACAACCTTTTCCCGCAATTTGCAATTTAGGGGGGGGGGGGCAGACTCAGTGTATATTTTTTAAAGAGGGGGCCGGGCCTATACCCGTTATTTTTTATTTATTTTTTTTTTTTGGGGGGGGGGAAATTTGCAAAGGGTACAAGTAAAGCTGGACACTCGATATCTGCTCACAACTCATAAATAGGGACAGAGGTCTTTTTTTTATAAAAGAGGAATTTGGAAAAGGCCTACAATAATTTCATGGAATAGTTTCTAAAATGTTTTCACTTACCTCAGAAATTGTTTCTGACTTACCAAATTCTCAACTTGTCCACACGATACATTCCACAGAAAAAAAAACCTCACACAAGAATTCGAAGACACTGTCCAGAGTTTAAGATGTTTCTCAGTGTTTTTTAGTTCATAATTCAACTCATGAATTCATCTCAGTTTCTTGCTTAAGATCTTGAAGTGTTCGTCGCAATTTGAAAAATACTATGCCTACTTCAATGAGTTTATCCCGGACAAAACAAATGTAAAGTCAGAGTTTATGACAGTTTAGGTAACTTTCCTCAAAGTCCTGGAAACATAGGTTAAAGTTTTAGTTAACTCAGTGTTTCATTCACAACAATTCCATGGACAGAAGTACGAGTACCCAGTTGTAGAATTTGGAGGGCTACGAATTTCAAGAGAGCCAAGCTGCGACAGGGTGGGAACCACGGCCGTGGTCCACAAATTCACTTGAAGTTCAGTTAAAGTTTCTGTTCCAAATAAAGTTTAACTCACGACATATGCAAGGTAAGAAGTCCGAGGGGTGAGTGGAGACTGCAGACTCTGGGTGGAGAAAATTCCAAAAGAGCAACGAGCAACGGTAGCTTGGAAATCCGACCGCCGCTTGATCCTTCGTGAGCCGTCCGCACAACAGCCGAGGTTCATTTTCCTCAACAATTCACTGGAAATTCAGTTAAAGTTTCTGTTCCATATAAGGTTAAACTCACGACACATGCAAGGTGAGAAGTCCGAGAAGTGAGTGCAGACTGCAGACCATGGGTGGAGAAAATTCCATGAGAGCAAGGGGCACGGTAGCTTGGAAATCCAACCGCCGCTGGATCCACGGTGAGATGAGTCGTCCGCACCGTGAGCCGACAAAATCCCAGCCGTAGGCTCGCCGTTGAAGTCCGCCTGATTTCCCAACGAAATACTCCACGAAAATCCACGACACCACGCAGAAGTCTTCCTCACGTTGTTGCCTTCGAATTTGAGACAAATTTTTGGTACATTCGAGAAATTCACTGAAAAAAAATTCTTTTTTTGGTGGACAAAAAAAGAGTGCAGTCCGAACTTTTGGCACGACACAGCAAACTTGCTCGCGCCAACTGCAGAAAGCAACCGATAAAATGAGTGGTAAGGCTACCATACGCAAAAATAATGAGCTTTACAGATTTGTTCATACGCGTCTGGACTTTTCTACCAAATTAAACAAAACTAACTAATTTCGACACAGTTTCAACTCGTCGTAAACCTTGCATGCTGCGTTCGCAAAAAAGTAAGACAATTTGTAATTTTTACCAAAGAAAATCATCGTATTTTGAATAAAACAGTCCGAACTATTTTTTTAAACGAGGAGAGATATCACAATAAGGCCGGTTGTGTTCAACTTCGTCCCTAGGGTTTGCTTAATGTTCATCCCTGTTTCAGGTAGTAGCGGTAGTGGTGGGAGCGTACTGCCCGACATCATGTAGTCTGGTTCCCAGATCAAAACATTCTGACAATTTGTGAGCAATAGGGCTTCGGGGAATTGTCCGGTCAGGGAACAAGACCAAAAATCATGGAAACGAGTTTGTGTTGAGTAAGTCACGCACTCAGCGTCGAGAGTGATTCCTATTGGCCGAAAGTGGAGCAGCAAACGTTTTGATTGGCAGGTGAGAAGATAACAGCTGCACTTGTTTACACAGTGTTTTCAAAACCTCGACTTCGTTCCAGCAACGGTTTCCGTCGATGTTGGGCGTCACTTTCAAAAAAGGCCTAGAAACATAAATTAATAGGAATGTTTTATATTTGGTGTTTTATATTTCATGGCATTTAATTCACATAAACAGAACAAGCTCGAGGATGCATAAAGTCAGTCTAGCATTTTCCCAACGTTTAAGGACCTACATTTTCCCGACGCCGCTTTCGGAGATGGAACCAAGGTTTCGAAAACAGCATGCGTACGGCCGGTATACATGTAGACCTTTCTTTTGTTTGCAAACATTGGCGCAATTTTATATGGGCTGCCGCGAGTGCATATATTGAAGCTGGGGTTGGCAACATGTCCCCCCCCCCCCCCAAAAAAAAAAGCCCCGTAACGCCATCAATACAAAGTAAAAAGGCATGTTGATAGGAATTATGTTTTAGCTCTGTTGCAACAATGTTGCATTTCCAACAATAAGATAACTTTTTGGTTCTCTTTAATAACTTTTCTTCATTTTTGCAGTGTTGGACCTGCCATAGTTTTGTAACCCGTGGTTGGCAAAAATGCAGTTTGCCAACCAGGCCCATTAACAGGCCCGAAATTGCCTACGCGAGCCAAAAATCACGATTTGCATGCCTATTTTTCTGTAGAAGTTGTGAACATGAGCCTTTTAAATAACCCATGAAAAAAACGAGTATGGGAAAATTAGATTTCATGAAGTAAAGCATGGGATATGGACATCAATGTCAGTTAAAAAACAAAATGCCACGCCCACCATACATAAACCTTGTAAATACCAACTAGGCTCTACTGGTCCCCCCCCCCCCCCCCCCAGCTACAAAGGCAACACGTCCAGCTTTCTACTTGCAGTGCGATCATGAATCGGCAAAAAAAATCGTTTAACTAACAAAAATGTCCTTCCTTAATTATTTGTTGCCACAGGGTTAAATCTTTTAAATCCAAGTATAAGAAAACTGAACATCAAACAAAAACGTGACGAGTGTTTACACTTATATAGCTGCCTGGTTTTACATGCCCAGTCGATGGAATGGTTGCTTGGCAACATCCTCCAAGTTGGGACCTTTTTTCTGTCCAGTTTCGTGCCAAAATAAGCTGTTTATTCAACTTTTTTGAGGGATTTGAGGGGGCTATCCAAAGCCAATAAAAATAGCGCCCTCTAACATACATCAAGTCATTCACGTTTAACATTCGAGCGTGAAAATGTATTTGAGCATGCTGTGGGCCATGAACTTGAGGGTTTGTAAAAAAAAATATGGGTGGAAGCCGTGCACAGGACTGTGAGCTTGTAGTTCGTTCAATTTGGATGAATTTCTGGGGCAGAAGCGCTCTATTTTGCAATGGAATGTAGGCATCATTTTTCAACATGGCAATGGCAGTGGCGTAGCCACAGGGGGGGGGGGGGGGCCGTGGGGGCGACAGCTCCCCCCCCCCCCACCAATGAAACCTTGTTCCCCTCCCCCGTCGCCCCCCCCCCCCCCCACTGAGATTTTGAGTTTATAAAACAATTATCATTGATGTACATGACGCCCCCCCCCCCCCATGAAATGTTCCAGCCCCCCCCCCCCCCCCCCCCCACCCACTGAAAAATTCCTGGCTACGCCACTGGGCGATGGGCTTCAGGACTATTTTCTTGGGTGATCATCCTCGGATGGAAATTTCTCCTAAAAGTCATCAGTTAACCCCCCTTAAATTGAGAAGAAAATGAAAGCTGATGAAATAGGCTTTAATTTGATGAGTGTCTCGAACACCTTGGAGAGTTGCGAGTATTTTTCCCGAATTTCTGAAGTGGGAGCATTTACCATTAGTGTCTATGGAAGTTTAGTTACTACTTAGACTCTTCGGCTCATAAAAGGACGGGTTCGCTCGTACCCCCCGCCCTGCCTGAACGGGGGGGGGGGGGGGGTACGAGCGAAAAAGGACGGGTAGCTTAACCCGTTCGCGAATAGTCAGTTCTCAATCGGGCATTTTTTACGCCGGCGCCATGATGATGCGCCAGATGAGCTAGCTGCACAAAGGTTACGAACGTCCCAACCTCGTCCCCAGGGTGTCGAACAGTACGCGCCCATCACTACCTGCTCTCTTGGAATCGCAGTTGGAAATAAAGTAAGCACTGGGGACGAGGTTGCGAACGTCCGGTCTACGCAGTGCTAGTACGGCTGTGAAGGTCGTCGGGTCATGCAGGGCTTTGATTTTCTGCTTGGGTGGGGGAAATTCCCAGGATGTGCAATGCGATGATTGTGCAATACGACGATATTGTGCAATATAGGATGATACAGCAATTTGCAAATTAAATTAGGTTTATCAGAGCCAGCCAGACAGTTCCTTTTGCAGCCCAGACACCACGGAAAAGAACAACAAATAAGCCTACAGACTTTTCTCGTATAAAAGGTGAGTGAATTATCAGATATTAAAGGGAATATACATCATTTGCTTTTGCTGTAATTGGGGGGTTAGAAATATAGGCCTATAGCAAATATAGTTACACCATGGAGGAAAAAGAACATTCCTCCATGGTTACACTGACTTTTTTGAGGTTTTTGGTTCGAAAATGCTATAAAAACCAAGAAAAACGATCATTTTACTGTAGTCTGGTTCCCTGACTCTATATAAGAAGAAACAGAGCAGTTTACATACATTGGGGAATTGTAAGGTCAGGGAACCAGTCTAGCTGGCTTGTTCCCGTTCATACTAGGTTTGTAATCGATTGCAAACAAGTGCGATGGTCAATTGGGGCCAGTAAATGGCAGTATTTGAAAAAAAAGCCAGTTGTTTCCAACGTAGCCCGACTGCGTCTGGCCGTACAGTACTATCGCAAGCTCTGTAGTACGGCCAGACGCTGAATGCTTCCCAAAAGACTGAATTTTTTTGGCCGCTGATGTAGCGATTTTGCTACATCTTTTGATCGAGATTATCTTTTCATCCAGGACAAAAATTTCCACAGTTAAGGTTCTTAGTCGTAGAGCAACTCGTACCTTTTCGAAAAAACGTTCTTTGGTCTCAATATTTTCATCCATCTGGCCAAATAACGACTTTCAGTGATCATCTTCCACAAATATCGTCCCGAAAATGCTCCCCCATGCGATTTCAAAATGGCGGCCGCGCTGTAACTCATGAATATGCATGAAAAGTCTGTGACGTATGACCTCGTGTTTTTGGACGTGCGTGCGGCGGCGCCGTACGTACATATGTACATGTACATTACTTGTAGACAACAGCCCAGTACGTGCATGCACACTTACGTCCGCGCGGCGGTGTGCATGCACGTACTGGGCTGTTGTCTACAAGTAATGTACATGTACATATGTACGTACGGCGCCGCCGCACGCACGTCCAAAAACACGAGGTCATACGTCACAGACTTTTCATGCATATTCATGAGTTACAGCGCGGCCGCCATTTTGAAATCGCATGGGGGAGCATTTTCGGGACGATATTTGTGGAAGATGATCACTGAAAGTCGTTATTTGGCCAGATGGATGAAAATATTGAGACCAAAGAACGTTTTTTCGAAAAGGTACGAGTAGCTCTACGACTAAGAACCTTAACTGTGGAAATTTTTGTCCTGGATGAAAAGATAATCTCGATCAAAAGATGTAGCAAAATCGCTACATCAGCGGCCAAAAAAATTCAGTCTTTTGGGAAGCATTCAGCGTCTGGCCGTACTACAGAGCTTGCGATAGTACTGTACGGCCAGACGCAGTCGGGCTATTTCCAACGCTGATTGGCCGATCAGCGTTGGAAATTGATACAAAAATACCATTTTTCTTGAAAATGACAGTTTACCAGGTGCCATGATTTTACAGGATGCTTTACACTGTCATTCACTAACAGTCCAGCAAGGTATTTCAAAATGATTTGGCAGTTTTATTTTTTGATGTTTGCAAATGTTGTATTTTCCCTTTAACTGAAGATACATTTAAAATGTACCGGTATCTGCATCATGTGTTGACAGATACAGCTTGAATGAAAGCATAAAAACTGCGTAATGTTTTGGGTGGCACTGGGTGTATGCACGTGCAAAAATATACTGTTTCGTGCTCTGGTATGCCAGCAAAGAATAATATCTATAAAAACAATACAAATACTTATAGATCTTGTTAAAATATGAAAATTTCCATTCAACAGTGTATAAATGGTTGACTCGTTTATCATGATCTTTGTTCATTGTTGTTGCAGTGACCAGTACACGTGAAATCACCATGGATGTACAGCCTGGGCGTTGCTGGTGTTGTGAGAAAATTCTCCCAGAGGACACCGCGCCTTGCGACCGATGCCCGATGGCCGTGTATTGCTGCACACAGTGTCGAGACAGGGACAACGTCAGACACAGCGCCATGGAGTGCGAAATGTTCGGGGAGAAGAAGTGCAGTTCTTGCAGCACACTTGGGAAAACACGGATGGTACGTCGTTATTTGACACAGCGGCCCTGTTTGGGTGGGCGGGCATGTCGGTCATACAGTCAGTTAGTCAGTCGGGCAGTCGGTCACGTTGGTTGGTCAGTCGGTCGGTTGTCCGCCCGGACGGACGGACGGACGGTCGGTTGGTCAGTTAGTCAGTCGGGGAGTCAGTCGGGGAGTCGGTCAGTCAGCCAGTGACTCAGTAGGGGAGTCAGTCGGTGACTCAGGGAGTCAGTCTGTCAGCGGTCAGTCACTATTTGCATCAGTCAGTCGGTCACATATCGTCGCTTTGCTCACAAAGTGACAAAAACCTCAAAATTTGACAAAAGTTCATTCTGAGATAATGGCATTTGAAGTTATTCATTTTTTTCAAAAGACATTTTCGACCACTTTGCAGTAACAGAATTCAGATTTTTTTGCATTGTCAGATAGGATATGATTTGCTCTTGGTTAATTCATAGTTGTTTGTTAAAAATAGTTCGTAATTAAACAGTTATTCATTAACAAAACTTTTTTGCACTTCGTGAGAACATCAATACTTTGGCTCCCATATTTTGCCAATTACTTTGTACACAGTTTTTGTCACTTCGTGGGATCATGAATCGTGGAGGCTTTACTTATTTGTACTTTTTTCGACGCAACAACTTGTTACTTTTGCGCGTCACGACAGTTGAGCGCGCGCGTCTGTTCTTTTTCAACATCGTTCGCGCGCGTGTATGCTCCCATCCTGCCGCGTGTAGTCAAATGTATAATTCCTCCGGCCCTGCCCACGAGGTGACTTTTTGTCACTTCGTGAGAACATTTTACACTTTTTTACACTTCGTAAAAATGAAAATCACCGATTTCAGGCTTTTTGTCAATTGTTTGTTTACAATAATTAAGAAAGTCAACAATATTTTGCCTTGAAACTTGGTCAAATTGTTCCTTGAGACAACTATAATAAAATGGCTAGTAAAACTCAAAATCGAATAATTATCGATTTTCGAGGTTTTTGTCACTTCGTGAGCAAAGCGACGATATATATGTACATGTACTAGTCAGGTAAGGTTGTAGAGCCTTTTTTTGGGGGGGGGGGGGGCTTTATAGCAGGGTGCATCCAGAAATGTTTGCAGGAAGGCATGCTGAAATGTAGACCGGTTATTTTCTCTGGACACTTTTAAAAGCCTCTGAACCCCCCCCCCCTGTAGAACCGCGCCTAGTATTACATGTAGTAGAAGTCCTACACTGTATAAGGAGTTGGGCAAAATGGGTTGATTAATCAACCAACAATGGACGAATAGTTAACACGTTCAACTTTTGGACAAAATTGCCTATTGCGTTGTTTATACTTTGCCCAACAAATTATTTGCCCAACATATTTACAGTGTACGGGATCCAGCAAATATGATCCACACCAAATGCAGATCGATTTTGTTTTGTTCTGTTTCTGCAGTGTTCAGCATGCAACAGTGCATGGTACTGCAATGCAGACTGCCAACGGCGTGACTTTCCAGCGCACAAGAAAACGTGTCGAGAAATTCTGGCATCCATCAAGCAAATCTCGTCGAATCTTAGCAGATTGAAAAGACATGGGTATGACGATTTTCCCGAATACTTTGGGAACACCATGGCGGTAGACTTCCTTCAACTTGAAAACAATGAATGGTCCGGAAAGAGTGTTGGAAAAAAACAGCTTGGTAGGGACTATCATGTCTTATCTGCTGGTTGCGGAGACCTATGCAACACAGTACTCACGGCTGCTTCCCTGCCTAACAAGTACCAGGGAAAACTGCACGTGACTCTGAATGATTTGGATCTATTTGTGATGGCAAGGAACGTGCTGTTTCTCTTCATGTTGGTCCGCTTTGCAGAAACTGAAGACATCGCTTCCAGTTTGACCACCATCTGGTACTCACTCCATATTTCCAAGAGAGAGTACGACTTGATCAAGACAAGCTTGGCTGAACTCATTCGGATGAGTGCTCGGCAACTCCACGATGCCACCAAAGGACTGGTGAGTGTCCTGGATGAAGAACTTGGGTATCTACGCCAGGTTTGGAAAGGATGGCAATCACTGGAATGTCGAAGAGACAATCGAGCCGCTATCAATCTGGCACAACAAAGAAAGGACATGTTTGAAAACAGCGACCAAGCTATAAAAGGCAGCCGCTCAAAATATTTAGCGTGTCTAAATGCAAATGATAGAAAACAGATGGAGAAGTGGTTTGAACATGGTCTGTTCCTACCCTGTGAGGCAAATCAAAGAGACATACCATTCGACAACCCTACACTTACTGCCATAGAGGCAAGCAAGTTCACAGCACAATTTGGTAGTCCACAACTACAACCTTCTGTATTATTACACGATTACGACTTGTTCGTGTACAGGTACCTCATGAGTCCAAGAAAGACGCCCTTCGCAGTATGGGACTGCTTGAGAGTTAAAGAGCACACCTCTGGATCCCACTCCTCTTGGATGGTGATGTACCACAAGTACGTCACAAACCTCATGCAGAAATTCAAGAGTTTCATCCATGAGGGAAGGCTCCTCATTCGTGTTTCTTTGACCAGCTGCCTGGACTTTCCTAGACATCACCAATCCCTGCAAATGCCCAACTATGACCGCATCTTCACCTCCAACCTTGCCGACTATATTTGCTTTGCTAAACTCCTGCAGATTTTTAAGCCACTGCTCAAATCCAGCAACAGCTACTCTGTCGTTGTCACAGAGATTATGTATTTCTATCTCAATGTTCCCGACGCTTACCCGGGAAAGACACTTCCAGAACCCCAACGTCGGAAATTAGTTTTGGATTGCATCCAGGACTTCCCGGCTCTAACACCAGCACAAATACAAAACAAGATCTTTGATTATCACAACACTACCTCTCACTTTCTCCGGTATCTCCGTGCAGAAATCATGGCAGGAGGGTTTGACATACCGGCACTCCAGGATGTACCGTCGTTTGAGAGTGTGAAGAAGTGTCAGGGCATGCAAATGCGTGACTTCCAGAAGGAACTGAACAAGTTTGTTCCGTTTCAGCATCGATGGAATGTAAGGAGCCTCACGTCACCACCTCCAGGTTGCAGAGCTGTAGAGTGGTTGCTTCCGAAAGAATAAAGGTTATACATTGTAGGCTGTACCCAAACCTCTACTCTAGAGCTACACATGTATAACGACAACCTTTCAAACTTTCAAAAGCAAATTAAAGGACTGGTTCTCAGTCCGTATGTTATCGATACTGATTGCGGGGCGTGAATCAGACAGCCTCCTGCGAGAACGGAGTTATTGTCGGGCAGCCAAGAATTCGGTCTGTAAAGTAAGAATTCTCTCCTAAACACGGGGCGATGTTTTTCAGTCAATGTCTCATTCAAAAGTGAATACCTTTTGCAGTGCTAGAAAAGTAGCAATTTGGAAAAGGATTTTTTTTGGGATGAAAGTCGACATCTTGGTTGCCGGGCAGTATGAACAGTTACTCCTGTTAGAAATATAAATGGAATTCTGTCAGTGTTTTTGAAATATATAGTCCTATTGGCAAATTTATGCTTAAACGTCTCAAATTTGGATTGTGAAGACTACTGAAAGTACCGTGTAAATAAAACCTTGTTTCTGCATGATTTTAGTTTATGTAGTTTCTGATCTGGCACGAGTGATGTATTAATTGATGTAAATATTCACTTGTTCAAGTTCATGTTTACTTATACTTCTCCAGGGTTCGACCTTAACTATTTTGTTCACTGGCCGGCCGGGCTACTGAAACGGACGTATTTTCAGGCTCAATTCTGAGGCAATTTTGTCGGTGTGTTTAATAAACTAATAATTTAACCTTTTAAAACAGTTGATAAAATCAGACACAAATTGATGGGGTTTTCTTTCTGAATTTAATGATTAATTTTTCATCCTGTCCGTTCATCTTTGCCGTATCCCAATAATTTTGTTGACTCGCCAGCCGGGCTACTTAAGGAATAGTTTGACTAGCCCGCCGCTGTTTTGACTAGCATTTGGCTAGCGGGCCACCAGCGGCAAAGTAGTGGTAGCCTACCCTGGTCTAAGACTTCTCCGACTATCAATTGTTTCCACCATGTACATGTACATGTAGGGCCTATACCCATTCAATCCCCACATCTTGGTAGGGGCAGCCCTGGGGGAGCCTGGCCGTGAGCCAAAGCCCGTAACGTACAGTAAGTTACATGTACATGTAGTAACTTTTAAATGGCAACTTAATTTCTCGGTTATAAGTAGTTAGGAACATGTTAATTAATATTTTCGTTTGCACAAATTAGAAATAAAGGGGACTTTTTCCCGATGTAACTGTACCACATGAGGGCGATCGCGATGCATCGCTGCCATTGCGTACCAGCCTCGCCTCCATGGGCGCGTGAGCGTTCCTCCATCAACCCCTGGCCGTTGGGAATATGTAAACGGCGACGCTGACTCGCTAAACAGAGCGTACTGCGCGTGTACTTATAAGTCTGCGCGACCCATATCTGCTCACGCGTTATCTCCTACACATACGTCAAGTAACGTACGATTTTTTTTTCAAGATTGCGCGATGCCTTTTCGATTTGGATTCCGGAAAGCCCAGTTTTACGCCCCCAAATACATGTATTCTGGGTAAAGAAATGGAGAAAATAATAGTGTGTCACTCATTTACTTGAAACTGAATGATTTGTGATTTACTTGTGATTGATTTGTGTTGTAAAGGGTACGACTAAGAATGTATATCCTTATAACGCATCTCATCATTCTCATGCTCATGTTTGAAAGGATCGATTCTACAAAGAAAGTTTAAGCACTGTGTTGCGCATTAAATAATGACTTATGTTTCATGCCGACATCCTATTTATCTGTTGTGTCCAATTTGAAAGCATTTGAACTTGAAATATACATGTAGATGTAGAAGTAAATGGCAAAAATACTATTATTCACCAAAAACGGGCAAAATAATGAGGAAGAAATGTCGTCATGACGTTAATGTGTAATTCTGACCAATGTGAACTACCAGATTCAGATTCAGCACTATCGAATGAGTAGAGTTGACCTTATTGCAAGCTGACACCAAAAAGTTAAGACGAACCTCAACTTCTAGACCTGATACAGATTTTGGCCCATGGCCTGGAGGGTGAAATAAAAAAAAACACATTTGATAGGCACATTGTAACCAATACACTTACCGATGCAGATTAGCCGAATTCAGGACCCCCCCCCCCCCAAAAAAAAATGATTTAAAAGCTGGCTATTATAAAAATCAAAATTTTAAAGAAAAATACCCACTATTTCCAAATCATTTTGTTCATTTTACTAAAAGTTGTGTGATAATCGTAGATAATATATAGATAATATAGATATATAGATAATCGTAGAAATAAAACAAACAATATTCACCGCGTTATATTTTGTCTTTTGTATTTTATAAGCTTTATTGTAGTTTAAGTATGTTTGTATTTAGTTCTGCCTGGGCCATACATTTGTCATGAAAGTATGCAATAATCCTTTCCAAGCTATTTCATGAATCTCCTTAAACGTTAAACACGTACACAAGTTTATTGAAAGGTTTTTTTTTTCCATTCTTGAGCGTAACTATGACATGATTTTGCTTTCTTTCAAAGTTCGAGGATTAAATCTACAAATGCATAGGCGTAGCCGGGGGGGGGGGGGGGGGTATCCCCCCCCAAAAAAAATTGTAAAGACCGCCCTTCTCAATTCAAATGCCCCTTTTCACCAGCATTTACCCCCAATATTTTGTAAAGAGTGCCTTTTTAGTGCCTTTTTTTCTGAACAACTTTCCCGTTTTAAAAAGAAGTTGTGGCCTTTTTGTGACATCGGCCGTTCCGAGTGCCTTTTTAAGAATTTCACCCATGTATCGCACCATATATTGTCCATTAGTGTTCAAACAGCCCCCCCCCCCTCCCGCTTTTTGATTTTACGGAGGCCAAGTTCCCGGAGAAAAAAAATGTGTCTACATTTCACCACGGATGTGCAAGTGCCCTTTTCAAAAACAAAATATCCCCCCCCCCCCCCCCCGCCAATCAAAATGACCGTGCTATACGCCCCTGATATTTTATTTTATTGAAAATTAAATCAGTTTAAAGTTGTTGAACAAAGAAATTGACTGGAGCGGGGCTTGAACCTGTGACCTCCGGATTGCCGTTCCATGCAGCGTTCTATTTCTCCATGGTTCTACCAACCATGGAGGAACTGAGTTATTTCCTTCCTCCATGTGAGCTATATCTCTCAAACCCGTGAACGTGGCTATTGACGCCACGTACGTTTACGGGTATTATCCAGCCCTATATGTTGGGGGTTCCGCATTTAATCAAAGTCTGTGTTCGGGGGATGGAGTAATTGAAGTGAAATTCTAGAAATGAGCTGACTGGATCCCTTAGGATCCCTTTATTGAAACTTAAATGTAAAATCGATCAGCGTTGAAAAGTACCCCCACCCAACCGTCCAAAGACGCCCAGATTTCACAAAGTTGCAATAGAGGGGTCACAAGAGGGCGATATTATCAAAGCCGTTGTCCAGGAACAGACTGGTACCCAATTCTTGTTGTGTATTCTTCTCATGGTTGGAAATGGACACCAAGCCTATTTGTCGGTGTGTGAATCTGGTGTGACACGTCGCCTTAGCCAACGCATAGCCAATATGTTGTGAAATACCACCAAAAATTCACATCTTTTACATTTAGCTGAGCTACGTGCTTCTCGATAGAAACAAGCAGAGTTTTGAGCATTTAATTAGCTAAATTCACACTGGTGAGTATCTCACGTTTCTACTTGTAATTTTTCGTCCAATGAGGCCAGGGTGTTGTCGTTTGTTTAAACTATTTTATTACGCAGTGGCTATTGTTACGGCAGCCGTAACCCATTTTCTGTCGTTATGGTAGACTGCAACTTTTATAAAAACATGACAAGAAAATATAAAATTAGAAGGAAAAAGTGAATTTGAACGTTATGAAATTCGGACTTTAATTCCCTTTAATCATGTTAATTAAGTTTTAAAAAAGGCAGTGTATATTTTGCCGGAGACGGCAAACCTTTAGTAAACGTTAGTTTGCCGGATATGCACTGAACATGTGCAGTTACTATTTTTTTTTACTTAAACATTTTCCGGTGACAAATTTTAGTCTGGTTCCATGCCAAAATTATTGTTGTAAGTAAATGTAACCTCGTATTCACAAGATGGGATTCAGACCATTTTATAATTTCGGATTTTATTTCCCTTTTAAAAAAAATCCTCCAGAGCCACAAATCTGAAAAAGAAAATGTAATAGGCATGATAGGGGCCTACTCTGCAAAACAATGTTTGAGACATGTTAAAATAATAAAAGAAGAATATTCTTATTTATTTGGGGATGAGAAAAAAAAACTTAAAAATGTGCTGTGGTCGGAATCGAACCCGAGTCATCCCGCTTAATACTAGAGCCTTTGCTTAACCACTACACCAAACGTGCTACACAACTTTGGTGGGAATTTAATACATCTTATAATTCAGCCCTATCTTAAAGAGTACAGCGCCCTCTGTTGATATGGATTGCCCCCAGCAAACCTTTAGTAAACGTTAGTTTGCCGTCATTACCTCCGGCAAAATATCCACTATCTTAAAAAAAAAATCCTCCAAAGCCTCAGGTTAGAAAAAGAAAAAAATTCGAGTGCAAAACTGAGATTCGAACCCGCAACCTTGCGGTGCAAAATCCTACCCTCTATTGACTAAGCTGTCGCACTGCTTGCTAGAACGTGTGGAAACAAATAATTATATACCTGCGTGCGTATCAATAAAGTATCGTAGAGGGCGCCAAACAACGGCTGCTGTAACGATAGCCATTTCGTTTTATTAAAGGTTTCAGAATAGCTTGACTTGAGTAACTCCAGCTGACGTGCTCATATTCATTCACATGTAGCGCTGGAGTGGAGAAATAACCTATTCGTTAGAGTGTGGTAGCAAGAGACCCTAAAAAAAAGGGCCTCTACAAAACAAAAATGGTCCATTTTCACCTCTATAATCCCACCCCAGATTCCATGGACATACATGTGTACCTCACACCATTCAGCAGTCATTCACGAAGCTAATGATCGACTTGAAACAGAACCCCCCCCCCCAAAAAAAATGTGAAAATTGTTGACAATTTTGGCGGTTTGTCCATAAAAACCGTTTCAAGTCGATCATTAGCTTCGTGAATGACTGCTGAATGGTGTGAGGTACACATGTATGTCCATGGAATCTGGGGTGGGATTATAGAGGTGAAAATGGACCATTTTTGTGCCTTTTTTTTAGGGTCTCTTGCTACCACACTCTAACGAATAGGTTATGTCTCCAGCGCTACATGTACATGTGAATGAATATGAGCATGTACATTGTAAGCTGGAGTTACTCAAGCTAGTTTCAGAATCAGAATTGTGCACTGTGTGTTAATTAGACCCTAGCCCCATAAATGTGGCCTATTTTACTGGACAACCTCCGTAAACATACATGTAGGCCACACTTCCACATGTACAAAAACGTGTCGAACAATCCCCACATCTTGGGTGGGCACACTGGGCATAAAGTCTAGGGGCATAGAGTATGTAGCTGGAGTCAAGAAGAATTTCAAATTATTTTCTGACAATTTGGAAATGTTTCTCAGTCCCAGATTCATGTCTTTTCCACATTTTTGCAATGACTGATCTCCATTGAGATGATATGATGAAAAAGTGGCGTCAGGATGCAACATTCTTCCTCAAATGAATTCTGGGGAACAATGCTATATCCTGAATACAGTTTTTTTGCATAAACCTCAGTTATTGTTAGTCATTGTACAAGTATGTTAAACTTGAAACAAGAAAAAAAAAGATTAAAACTAACAAACACGGTTTCAAAATACTACCTCTTCTTCTAAATTGTATATTTTTTAAAGGGAAGATACAACATTTGCAAGCGTCAAAAAACTAAATGATCAAATTATCACAAAATACCTTACTAGATTGATTGTTAGGGAATAACAGTCTAAAGCATCCTGTAAAGTTGTGGCTCCTGGTGTGCTGACATTTTCAAGAAAATTTTTATTTTTACCAACGCTGGTCGTTGGAGAAAACTTAATTGTACATATTTAGTTCGTCTGCATTTTCTTTGCAATTGATTACACACCCGTGAAGAAGTACAAGCCTGCTAGACTGATTCTCTGATCTTACAATTCCCCAAAGTCTATAAATTGCTCCGTATCATCTTAAGTGGGGTCAGGAAACCAGACTACATGTACAAGAATATGATTGGTTTTCTTGGTTTTTCCAGCATTTACAAATCCAAAACGTGAAAAAAGTCAATGTTTGCTAATTACATATATGTACTAATCCTCCAAACCAATTTATTTCTCAAAATTGCAGCAAAAGCAAATGTTTTGCATTCCCTTAAAAAAATTTTTTTGCTGAGTTGTGCCAATTTGGTTTTCATTTGTTTATTTAATTTTAATCACACATTTGCTGGTATGAAACATTGCCTTTTTTCCCTTAATGCTATGGTCTGCTGATCAATCCTTAAAAAAAACGTAACTTTGTAGGGCCTATCCCTTGTAATTATTTTGTGTTACATGTACTGGTATGTCAATTTGAAAACCTTCTACCCAGATATTGTTGTTTGATGTTTGTATTTCCTGTATTTCCAAATGCGTGGCTATCGTAATGGCAGCTGTAACGCGACTTGCAACTGCTATCGTTACGGAAGTGTCTGGTTCCCTGACGTAATAGTATTCAACATCACAATCTTTGGCTGTTTGGACCTGACCACCAACCAAATGGTTCTTTCAGGACTTAATTTCCCTTTTAAAAAAAATCCTCCAAAACCACTGATTTTAAAAGGAAGTAAATAAAATCTACAGGCATAAATAAAAAGAACTATTTGATAAAAAACCTAAAACTTAAAGGGAATATATACAACTTTTGCAAATATCAAAAAAACTAAATGATCAAATTATCACAAAAGAAACCTTACTAGATTGTTAGGGAATGACAGTCTAAAGCACCCTGTAAAGTTGTGGCTCCTGGTGTGCTGACATTTTCAAGAAAATATGTATTTTTCAAACGCTGGTCATTGGAGAAAACTTAATTGTTCATACTTAGTTCATCTGCACTGTCTTTGCAATTGATTACACACCTGTGAAGAAGTACAAGCCTGCTAGACTGATTCTCTGATCTTACAATTCCCCAAAGTCTATAAATTGCTCCCTATCATCGTGGGGTCAGGAAACCAGACTACATGTACAAGAATATGATTGGTTTTCTTAGTTTTTCCAACACAAACCCAAAACGTGGAAAAAGTCAATGTTTGCTAATTACATACATTGAACATGTACATGTACTAATCCTCCAAACCCATTTATTTCTAAAAATTGCAGCAAAAGCAAGTGTTGTACATTTCCTTTAAAGATAAAAAAAAAAAAACGTTGTTAATCTGCATTCATAGCCTAAAATTGCTGAGTTGTGCCAATTTGGTTTTCATTTGTTTATTTAATTTTAATCACAATTTTGCTGGTATGAAACATCAATTGCCTTTTTTCCTTAATGTTATGGCCTGCTGATCAATCTTTAAAAAACACATAACTTTGTATCCCTTGTAATTGTTTTGTGTTACATGTACTGGTATGTCAATTTGAAAACCTTCTACCCAGATATTGTTGTTTGATGTTTGATACTGTTTGAAATGTGAAAGTCCCTCCAGTTCTTTTCAGAACCACACATGCATGTACTCACAAAAGAGATTTATTCACATGGTGCTACCGCAAACTTTTCTTGTTTGACATTCTGAGAATTGAATTGTTACCACTGGAATTGATTTTTTTCATTTGTGACCTGCAATCGCCCAACCCTACTCTCTGCCTTGTCATTTACCAGCCTACTGAGTCTTGATGGATCGATGGATGATTCTGGTGCTAGGCCTGCTGGCATTGCTAGCCGTGTGTCGATCAGCGCCTGTTTTACCAGAGAAAGAAGATTCAGATGAAGAGGAGGTTGATGATTCGGAGGTAATTCCAACACCCCCCCTTCCTTCCATGCCCTTCCCCAAAAGGGGTATGATGAGTCGTTGATAATACATGTACATTGTACATGTGCATGTAGTTTGCAGCAACCCTCCTTTTGTTTGATCAGTCACAGACAGTCAAACATTTCTTGCAATTCCCCTGCCGTGCATTTCAATACAGACCAAAAAAAAACCGTATCTGTGTACAGTGGAACGCCGCTATAACGAACATCAAGGGATCCACAGAAGTAGTTCCTAATATCATTCGGTAAAGAAATTTTAAGCTGCTGGTGCTCCGGTACTCACTTTTCAATAAATAGCGCCCTTCAGAACTTCACCCTGCATACCCTTGTAGCTACTGAAAGACGACTTTGAACACGTGCTGACTATTGAATTATGTTTACACAGTTTTTGAGCTTACTCCCTGCAGCCATGGGTGGCTTTCCCCTTCTATTCCTTGGGGAAATAATAACCACTTGTTGCTCTTCTGTTGACATTTTTCAACAACAATGTTTCATACGTTTTGTACACAAACATCGGAAGCCAAACATGATGTTCGGTATAGCCGAATGTTCGGTATAGTGGTGTTCGGTATAGCGACGTTCCACTGTACTGTGACTAGTCAAATTCTATCAACAGACAAAAGAGGTGACTGGTAGGTACAGCTGGCATCAATCACCTCCAGTCAAAGCATCAAAGCATGGTATCAAATTGGAAGGAATTCGTAACTGTTCAATAGCTGAATTTGCTGGCCAGAGAGGGAGTGTTCTAATCATCAATGTGAAATTCTGTAAAGTGATACTTAGTTTTGAATAGTAACTGAGACGAAACCCTGGCTGTGTTGAATTTCATGGACATACGTTTTGTAACATTTTGTGAACAAAAGGTAACCGTTTAACAAGGTTACGCTTTATTCAAGCCTGTCCCAAAATGCTCTGTTGAAGACGATGTTAAATTATACTGAGGGAGTCAGTCAGTCATCAGTGACTCGGAGGACACAAGGCTAGTCCTTTTTAGATCCAGCCCCGCCCCCCTGCAGTGTTTTTATTTGCAGCACACATCGTCAATGGATCATGATTATTCAGCTAGTTCGATGTTTATTCATAAGAAAATAACAACGACGTCACACTATATTGCTATCACTCAGTCATGCAGAACGGCTTTCGTCGAGCTGCCACAGTGGCCTAGTGGATAGTGGAGTGAACTACCGGGTACCAAGTATGGATCGCAAGATCTGTGGTTTGAACCCATGCCCATTTTCATTAAATATTTCTGTTGGTTGTGATAGGCTTAATTGAAGGGAAAACACTACGCGAACCTAAGGTGTCTTTCATCCACACAGAGTGATAAATTATTCATGTTAGGGTGCGTGATGTGATTGGTTAAAATACAATGCATGCTGCAGAAAAAAAAAAAATGCTCCCCCTTCCACAAAAAAATTAATAACTTGTGGAAAAAAACCTTTGTAACAAAAGCTGAGAACAAATGAATGGCTCTAACATTTTTTTTACCGATGAGCAGTTAAACGAAGTAAAATAAAAAGTCTCGTCCGGTGTTAAAAAAAATTAATTTCTTTGATTTCTTTGTTTAGCACACTGGCCTGACGTACGACAAATACCTAAGGAGGGTGGTGAAGACGCTAGAGAATGACCCGGTCATGAAGCAGAAACTGGACGAACTCAGTCTGGATGACCTCAAGGTAGGTCAAAGGTCATAACCTTCATGCAAAAAAGCTCATATATGACCCAACCTTTACCATTTGTTTACCGAATGAGTCTAATTGAAAAATGAATTTGCCAATGCTACACTGTTTCTAACGTTTTTAGGCTTATTTATTTCAATTCTTTATGGTAATGAATTCAAGAGTTCCTGATAACACCATCAGCACATCTCCAAGAATTTTTACAAGTTAATTTACAGTTTATAATGGCGGATGGAAACTTTGGTGTGTGATGGTGTTGTAGTGTCCAGTTGACACCTCCGTGCAAAAAGTCTCGCTGAAAGTTGAGATTCATGTCTTTTTTTATGACACCCTTTTTCAGGTTATAATATACACTGGACATGTTGTAAATGTTATCATCACTTCACTGCAAAAAGCAAGTTGTGCCCTTTCTTTGTCAACACCCATAAATGATGTTTTGTCGTAGTTTTCACTGCTGGAGTGCAAGAATGTTGTAAAGTCCGAGTATGTCTTGCATTTGGTAATTGTGTAGTTTAGGACACTGTTCCAATAACCTTGTTATGTTTTGGGACTTAATACCTAAACATTTGGCAATGATACAATCGGGAAAAGTCACTTTATCTGTTTGGAATCATCTACAACAGTTCGCTAAGATGCCATGTTGAATATCAGCTACCTTAATTTTGTGGAAAGAGGGCAGGGTTTTGATTTCTGAGCGGAACTTGCAAACCATAAGGGGTGTCCTAAACTTGCATTTTGAATAAGCCAGTATTGTTCAAGGGACCAAAACTTCCAATTGTAGTACTTTGTTCTCATTGGTTGGAATAATGTGTAACACTTTAGTGAGATCTTGACCAATGAAAGGTGTAAAAAAAAAAAAATCATTTTTTTGCTCATAAATGTTTTTAAAAAAAAATTCTCACTTTGTTTGCTTTTTCAGACTGGTAAGATCATGGAGATTATGGATGGTGTCTCAGACAAGATGAGGGCCAGACTAGATGATTTGAAACGCACTGAAGTACAGAGGTTGAGGCAGGTTGCCAGACAGCGTTTCCAGCAAGCTAGTAAGTAGTAAAAGCCGTGTCCGAATGACATGGCTACGGCTAGGAATTACACATGCGCCTATGGAAAGCGGCTCCAGCCATTTCCCACAGACATGTATGTTACATTCAGCCGTAGCCAAGTAATGCAAACGTGGCTTAATATATGTGATTATTAATTACTTCCAAAGCATCTTCAAGCTGCAGAACCTTAAAGGGAATGTACAACATTTGCTTTTGCTGCAATTTTCAGAAATACATAGATTTTAAAAAAAAAAAAATGTTATAGCAAGTATCGTTAAACTGACTTGTTTTACTTTTTGGGCTTGTAGATGATGGAAAAACCAAGAAAACCAATCATTTTCTTGTAGTCTGGTTCCCTGACCCCACTTAAGATGAAACGGAGCAATTTGTAGACTTTGGAGAATTGCAAGGTCAGAGAATCAGTCTGGCAGGCTTTTCCCTTCTCACAGGTGTGTAATCAGTTGCAAAGAAAATGCGGAATAACTAAATATGAAAAATTAGGAGCAGTTTTGAAAATAAGCCAGTTTTCTCCAACGCTGGTCGGCCGACCAGCGTTGGGAAGATACAATTTTTCTTGCAAATGTCAACACATTAGGAGCCACAGTTTTACAGGATGCTTTAGACTGTCATTCCCTAACAATCCAGTAAGGTATATCGTGATAATTTGGTCATTTCGTTTTTTGAAGTTTGCAAATGTTGTATTTTCCCTTTAAGTCTTACACAGTGGAAATTGATTAGAGCACTGAACTCCTCTACCCACATGTCAGAATGTCAAACAGTGTGTCACTGTATGAAGAGCTTAGTGTGGTCTTTCTAATGCATTAACCTAACCTTCCCAACTCCATCAAAATGGTAGGCAAGCCATCAAGGGCGGATCCAGAACATATTTTTTGGGGGAGGGCAAAAAATGTTTTGGTGCCCCAAAAAGTGAGTCCGAACAATTACGGCGTGGGGTTCGGGGACCGTTTAAGGACCACGAGAATTTTATGGATTCTAGATGCTCTGTGGTGTGATCTGAGGCAATTTCTGACCACTTTGACCATTTTTTTTTTGAGGAAAAGATGGTGGTGTATGCAGGCAGTGCCTGCCTTTATTGCGACATCACTTAATAAAAAAATTGGGATCTTTTTTTTTGCATGGCCCCAACCTCTCCAACCACCAAAAGAGGAAAATAAAAGTAAAAGCAATCCATGGTGGATATTTTTCATGAAATTTCGGATTTTTATCTGGTTTAATCTGAATGTGTGATTCTGGTGAAATGTTTTCATAGTTTCTTGTTCTGAAGTGAGTGTTGCGTGTGAAGGTTGTGTTGTTTGTGTGGTAATGCGAAGTGTGCCATTCTTGCCATACATGTACAATATGCTCATTTTATGTTATCACGTTCCACGCACGTACTCAACCACAAAGTCTCCAATTTGTCACTTGTTTGCACATGCTTTGAATACTTAACTCAAAAGGTCCATGAGTTCCTTCCAGAAAATGGAGCAAAAAGGTTTTACAACCTGTATTTTTAAAAATGAGTGAAGAAAATGTTAAAATTGAATCAAAAAATTAGACATGGTTAAGTTCGATTCAATTTCCAACAGAATCTTTCTTCAGAGATTCTGCCAGGAATGAACGTTGGCGTCAAAATATTGTGGTTAATTTTTTTCGTGTCAGTCAAGTCAGCCAGCAGTTTTAGTCATTTTCGTGTTAAATTTGAAGTCAGAACATGCAGAAGATTGACGATAATTATGATTCAAGAGGAAAAAAAGCTTTGGAAATTGCAGGAATTTGTTCAAATGTCCTTTGCATTTGTTTTTGTTTTTTTAAGTTCAACAGTTTGTCCGAGTGTCTTTTCCAGATATTCTTAGTTTTGATCATAAGAACATATTTGTTTACTTTATATTCTGCGTATTTTGAATGGCATTTTATATTTCTTGCTTTCCACACAAACTATAATGTCTTCAAAAAAGATGCATATGTACATGTATATTTTTCCACCTGTTCATTGTTAGCTTTTGTTCTCATCATTGCACGCTACCATTATCTTGTTGTCTTTTGTTAACTAACCACCTATCTGAAGCTTTTGATGTTAATGGTACCAACGAGACAGGTTAGCCATGTTGCATGATTTCAACTACATGTACATGTAGTAAAGAGAATGAGGCGTTCTGGCAACATGAGACAGAACTGGGCAGAGGTCAAAATGAGGGTTTTGCAGGTTTTCGGAAAGAGAATAAAATTATCCTCACAATACTGTTTGTTGCACTTCAATCGGGCATTCAATTGACAAGATACCGGTATGTCTGTATTAAAGTTTGCACTTGTCGACATGACAAAAAGTAAAATACTGAGAGAAAGCCTAGTTTAGAGTTTTTTAGTCGTGAAAATCTATGCCAATTGTATTTCCTTAAAAACACTTGTGTTCTATGATTTAAAGTACCGGTAGACATATCAAAAATTAAAAATATCAATAAATCTGAAAATCAAGAAAAAGAAAATCACCCTACCGTATATTATTTTTTTTTATACATGTATATACATTTTTCTCCACTACGGCCTGTGCCCGGTTCAATTTCATTTTTGCCAGAATGTCTCACAATTGCATTGTAGTTGATTGATGAGATATTGATTTGTTTTCAACTTGCTAAATAATGTTTCATCATTCTATAAATTAGGGGTCTAAGAAAAGAGCACAGGATGGGTATGGTTCCTAGTAAATCATGGGAAATAGGGTTAACTTACTCCAGTTGGTGGACTCTGTAGACAGTGGACTTAACTATAATACATGTAGTTGCATGCCATGGTGCTTGAAAACAATGCATGACTAAAGCATGATTGACACAAATGCATGATGATTAAATTTAAGTTAATAAATTGCATAGCAAGTTGCATGACTAGTTTGGCTAAACAACATGTACCGGGTATAGGCATTACCCCATATTAATATGCACAATATAATCAACCTTCATTATAGAATATATGCATCCTTTCTTTCTTATGCATTTTCTCATACTATAAGCTTAATATAGACTTCACCCCTCATTAATTTCATGATTGCCATTTTTATACACGATTGCCCGTAAAATCAATCATCAATTGCTAAAAAATGAATATTCATCAGCCCTCATAAATATTCACGTCACCCATTGTGAACAGATCATCGCCCCATGGACCAGAAACAGATTGAAGACATGACGGGTCATCTGGACATCAATAATGTCGATCAGTTTGGCGGAAAAGACTTTGAAAAACTCATCAAAAAGGTAGTTTTTAGAGAAAATTTGCAGTTTTGCCTTGCTGGCAAAAATGCTTCAATCGGTTGTGTTGGAGGGTGTATCATATCGTCGCTGTTCTCACAAAGTGCAAAAATTTAAAATTACGGCCTATAAGGTTTTTTTGATTTTGACTTTTGCTAGTCTTTTTGTTGCCCTTGGCTCAAAGAACAATTCAACCAAGTTTCAAAGTGAAATATTATTTACTTTCTTCATTTTCGTAATTGCACATATAGATATTTGACTATAAAATCTGAACTATATTTTTGCGTTTTGCGAAGTGTAAGAAACACACATAATGTGTTTAGTTCCATCAACCCGGCTACGCTCTTCCACATCCTCTCATCTTCAACTTATGCCTGGTCCTCGAGTGAAAACACGCTATGGTGACAGAGCTCTCTCCATCGCCACTCCCAAATTATGGAACAGTCTCCCTCCTAAAATTCAAAATGCCTCGTCCTTAGAAACATTTAAATCTATGTTAAAAACTCACTTATACAAATCTCTGTAATATGTCTTACCCCAATCTGCTGCTTGGTCCACACAAAATTAATGTTGTTTTCTGTTAGTTTCCTTTGTATTTCGGCAACTTTATGTTTGGACACTCCATGTCAGTTAGTGTTTTCTACCTGTAATTCTGTTCTTTGTATTTGGTGCGGTTGCCCTTGTTTCACCTAATAGTCTACAAGGACAACAGCATCATATAGTGCTTAGAAACGTAGTATTAAGCACGGTATAACTGTTTGCTATCATTATTATTATTATTAATGTTCTCACGAAGTGACAAAACTCACCTCATTAGAAGGGCCAGAGGGATCCTACAGACTCTACACGCGTAAGGCTTGGATTTGACGTGTGTGTGGAAACGATATTGAAAAGAACAAACGTGTGCACTGAACTACATGTATTGTATGACGTGTAAAAGTGACAATTTCTCAAAAAGTAACAAACAAATTTTTGCACTGAAAAATTCCCACAAAGTGTCAAAGACTGTGTGCAAAGTAATGGGAAATTAATGAAGGCCTCCACGTATTGATGTTCTGAAAAAGTGTCAACAAGCTTTATTAATAAATTACTTTTTAATTAGAGAGAGATTTCTTTTACAAACAACCATGAATTATTCATAAATACCTCAGACAGTTTAGCTATTCCTATTGGTCGAGAGCCCGTCACGTGGCCGGTCTTAAACGGATGATAAAGACATGGCTAGCTGGTCTTAAACACTTTTCCAGTGTCACAATAAAATGTGGACTCCTAAAAATCCAGTGCCTCTTACCGTTTCATTGGTTGAACGTTCACAATCCTCACGTAGGCATGCGCAACACTACCAGCGAGTCAGAATTTTATGGTTCTAAATTCAAAACGCAACGCCCCAGGTGTGTTCTACGCGACATCGCGCAGAACATGGTACGCGCGCGTCAATCTCCATAAAAGGGTTGTTCACGTCTTACTCGCCAGGTGAACACTCCATTATTTTGCCAGAGGGATGTTTCAAAAAGCATGAAGTGAACTTGTTGAACAAAATCGGGATTTTTTGAACGAATTATTTGATTTTTTTTTACTGAAAAGGTATTTATGAATGGGAATAAATATGTGCTCGGTCGGTATTTATCACTCTGTTTAAGACTGCTTAGAGTCTGGGTGCTGATAATTACTCGAGCTGGAGGCGAGGGTAATTATCAGCACCCAGACTCTAAGCAGTCTTAAACAGAGTGATAAAAACCTCCGGAGCACAAATTTATTCCCCTAGCAAAGAACAAAGCCTAAGTTATTGACAGACATTCACAGACAGTCAAAATTAAGTTCCACTTCCCCTGCTATACATGTACTATTAACAAACGCTAGTCACCAGCAATCAGAGCATATTTCAAGCAAGCACTGTGTTTAGTCAAACTGGGTCAACTGACAAAGCAGGCATATTGTGGTCACAGCTGTTTTATCACTCACGTGGAGTCAAAGCATAGCTGCATCAAGCTACTTAAACAGTCACAGCCAGTCAATCCTGCTTTATGTAGGCTGGGAATTCTTAACTGTTGAAACAGTCACTTGTTTGATTTCGACTGAAAGGACTACTTGGCACAGAATGTATGTTTGCATAGGAGGGTTAATGAACTTTTGCCAATTATACATTGTAGAAGTTTTTGTCACTTTGCGAGAACATCGACAATATGTTAACAGGGTAGGTCTTTCTTAGCAGATGGTTGCTATTGTTACATGTATCCCGTCAATTTCTGAAATGCAAGGCAGCTCGCCCTTATGGCAAATATCATAGGTTCATGAATAAACATAAGGCATTCTAATGTGAAAAACAAATATATGAGTCTTTTTGAAGTTATGCTGTAGCAGGAGTTATTTGACACAGTTATGATTTGAAAAAAAAAGTTTAGAGTGAACTAGGATGATGCGAACCGGATCACCTCACAAGGTAAGTTGTACTTCATTTTTCTGTTTCCAATTATCGAAGCAATGGCCCGACGCTGACCTCAAAGGTAGGTATATTTTAGTTACAACATGATTCTTAGATCTGCTAACAAAACTAGCATTGCATGTTCACAAGCACATACATGTAGCAGCTGCTATACATGTACATTTCATAGCCTGCATTAGCTCCACGAAACACTGCTTGCACTGCTTTCAAAAAGCTTACCCAAAAAACTGAAATTGTTTGTCATCAAGAGAATGAAACACGCTTGAGGAATGTGGTTCAAAGTGTGACTGATGAGACACGTAGAGTGCGTTCGATTACTTTCCCCAGCTTACTCGCGCCTGCTCCTCCCCTGATGACAGACATGGGCAGTGGAGCTAAATAAATGAACGGTTTCGGGTAAAGTTTCGTGCAAGAGCTGGAAAGTTGAACTTTGACATGACACTGAGGCTGCATCCAAATCAACTGTCTAGAGCTAGGTATAGGTCCACGCCCAGTGAAAATACGCGGAGACGGGCTGACAATAGACGTAGCTGTAGCTCTGGAAGCACACGGCCTGAGGCGTCCACCGGACGTCACGTTGGCTGCCATGTTTATTGCATGGCCTTATGGGATACTTACATTTGTACCCAACTAACCGGCTCGGCGAGTCGGTCACTTGGGCCAGGCTCGAGTAAGCGCGAGAAGTCACGTGAGAGGTACGTAAATCGAACCCTGCTGCGCTTGCACAAGTAAGCGCGGGGGAAGTAATCGAATGCACTCATTGTGTGGACTACGTACTGTGCACAAGCACTCCCTCATTGGTGAAAAACAGCCAATGTTTCATTTTGTCACTGATTGGTGATGTGGTTTGTAGACAGCAGAAGGGCAACTCCTGAAGACCTCAAGGACATGCATGCCCATTTAGACATCCATTACAAAGCCTTCGGAAGCCAGGATCTCACCAATCTACTGAAAAGGGTAAAGTTAATACAAGACTACTGCTTAGTCATAAGAGCAGGTTTCAAATTTCAAATATAATCTACCTAGATCAGAGTATTATCCGAGTATTATTGTTGGTGGCTGTGTGGCGCAGTGCGTAAAGCAGTGCATAAAGCACTCGCCATTCACCGCTATGGCCCGGGTTCGATTCCCGGCTGGGGTGTTATGTGAGTTAAATAATAATAATAACAGGTTCTTATAGCGCTTTTAACTAAGATCAAAGCGCTTTACATTATAATTACCCCTAATCATTGGGCCAATTGAACATTCCAAATACCATCTCAGCTCCCTGGGGAGTATACATGTACAGCTCGATGCTGCCTGTTAGGCGCAAGGAAGCTAATTCAATCACAATAACCATCACTGCCCTCATAGGTACCCATTTACTCCTGGGTGGAGAGAAGCAATGAGTGACAAAGTGCCTTGCCCAAGGGCACACGCACCATGACCCCGCCAGGACTCGAACCCACGACCTGCAGCTTTACCCGCAGACCATGAATCAGTGCCCTTAACCACGAGGCCACAGCACTCCAGTTGAGATGGTCGTTGATTCTCTTCTGTGCCATGAGGATTTTTCTCCGGTTTTCCTCCTTCGCAAAAATCGACACTTTTGATCTGGCTGTGCTCCTTGGTCAGACATGGGTCGTATCGCGGCTGCCTAAGGCGCCTTTACATGTCTTTGGCTTGACCATGTTGTAGCTGTCATCAAAATTCTGTTTAAATTAATTTCATTTAATTTTTATATATTAAGATTAATGCCTCCCCCCACTTCCCAGATCCTTCAAAATCAATCAGATGGTTTTGGAGGATTTTGTAGGATTGCTAAAGGTAGAGCCCAGCCACTATTGCTCTACATGGGGCTTGATGCCCTTGAAACTTGGTAGGTACAAAGAGTGTGCCATTGGGTTCCTGCACAGTAGAGGATTTTTGTGTGTGTAGGATTGAGGAAGATAGAGTCAAGCCATTTTTACTTTACGTGGGGCTTGATGTCCATTGAAAGTTATAAGTTCAAACAATGTGTGACTGGGCACACAGTGGAGGATAATGTAGAATGCAGAAAGGTTTGTAGGGCTATTCCAGCTGTGTATAATGTCTGTAAAAAATTTTAAAAGCTAGGTCATTAAACCTTAAACTATAATTTTTTTTTCAAATCTTGTACATGTATATCCATCATCTAGTAATAGCCAATGAGATTACAGACTAGCAGAAGTTCGGGATCATTTCTCTGAATAATAGACCATTAGCGTACTGTGGCCATCTTGATATTTCTCACATTCAAATCAACGTAGCCAAAACGAGGCTGGAAGGCAAAATAGCCTGGTTCCGTTTTGCACGAAAAACCTTATCATTCAGTACTGTTATTGTATGCAGGGAACAGGACTGAAATGGTGACAGTGTGATAAAGTTCTATTAGATATCATGGTTAATTGGCTCTGTCACAGACAATCCGCGTCTTTTCATAATCTGAAATTGCTCCTTAGCAAAGTTACCAACAGAGTTAGGTTAACTGAGACATCTTTTACTTTCTCCCAAGGCTACCGAGGATCTTGACAAGGCAGACACAGAGCGCAAGGAGGAGTTCAAACGCTACGAGATGCAGAAGGAGATCGAGAGACGACAGAAGCTGAAGCAGATGGACGAGGACAAGAGGAAAGCTGCGGAGAGAGAACACGAGGAGAGACGCAAGAAACTGAAGGAGAAACACATGAAGCATCCGGTAAGAAAAGCAGCCAAGTACAGTAGAACGCCACTAGATAACATTCATACAAACATGACTGAATTGAACAGTTGACAAGAATTATGCTCTTTAATACAGAGTATTGTAAAAACAAATTCAATTATCGACTTGAATGTCAAGAGTATTGACCTACTTTTCACCTGGTAATCCTGGAGACTTATAGCAATAAAAAATGAACATGCTGGAAAAACACACCTATAAACACAAAAAATTTAATGTCAAATATTTTGTTGTTTTATTTCAGGGGAGCAAGAAACAGTTGGAAGATGTCTGGGAGGAGACAGACCACCTAGAAAAAGAGGATTTCAACCCCAGGACCTTCTTCAAGCTTCACGACACCAACGGTGACGACACACTAGATGCCTTTGAACTAGAGGCACTCTTTGTCAAACAGGTGCGTTATTGCTCTGGTGTATCCTCAGTCCTTCTGATTTGAGGCGTGTGATCGCCTAAAAGCTTCTCGAGAAGTGCGAATAATTGCAAGCCTGAATCCCTCTGTACCTCACACCTCGGCATACATTTACGAGGTTATCAATATTGCATGCTGAGCGCAGACTTTGTAAACTTAAACGCCATTGGCCGAAACCATGTCATGTTTTTGTCATCGGCCAATCAGCTTGCCTCACACAAAACACGGCCGTGGGCTTAACAAAACTTGACACAATTGTGACCGTTTTATTTAATTTAGAGCAAACTTTACCTCTTATTTGACCTGTGTTTATTTTTGAAAAAATCACACGCCTAGAAAAATCACACCTGGATTTTTCTATGGTATGAAAAACAACTAATCAAACAACAGCAGTAGAAAAATCACACGCCTCGAAAAATCACATGCCTAGAAAAATCACACACCTAGAGAAAATCACACACCTAGAGAAAATCACACACCTAGAAAAATCCAGGTGTGTCTTTTTCCACACGTTTGTGATTTTCAAATCAGAAGGACTGGATCCTGATTGGTTCCATTCTGTGTTCTCTGCTCTTCTTCCTGTCATACATGTATTTTGTGCCGTAATTTTATGTAAACTTCCCTGTACTGTATTTTGCCTTAAAGCTATAGTCCATCATTTGCAGCTATCCGAAAAGTAACTGGCGTAATTATTGTTGAAAAACGTACTTGGTTGAAAGATAGTAAGGGTACTAAACTTCCTGTGAAATTAGTCTTTCTGGCAAGCTGTCATTTTGAAGTAATCAACGAAAGAAGTCCTTTCCAACGTTGCTCCTTAAGACGCACCGTAGGGAATTTAAATTTGTAGTCCGTTTTGTTATTCGGCGAAGCGCCTGCAAGCATTGGCATGACGCACACGCACGCACGGTTGCTATAATTCGTCGGATCAGTGCAAGACATCGCGTAGCTGCAATCGGCTCAGTGAGAACGTGCCTCGGACGCTGAATTCAGGCCCAATTCGAAACATGATTCAGCAACGTTTGATTTGCAATTGAGATCCTAGAATGCTGTTTTTTTTTCGGAATATACAGCTGAAGCTGAGCTGAAACTTCATCAGGTTAGTTGTTCAGCACCCTTCTTTAGATTTTGAGCACTATTGTTACTTCAAACGAACAAAATGCACACATTACAAATAATGGACTATATCTTTAACCAATCTCCGGTTAGAACCACTAACGTAGACGTTCCACCATGCTTGCATATTTCCTGCCCGTTTTTAGGTACGCAAGCATTACGAGTCGTCCGACAAAGAACATGTTGACCCCGTAGAAGTCCGAGAAGAAATATCCCGAATGCGAGAGCATGTCTTGAATGAGGTAATGTAACCGTTTTCATGGCGATCGATGGGTTCAAACCACACCTCTTCTTTTCGTCTCTTTTGTCTTGTGTGTGCGCAGGTAGAAAAGATGTACGCCGATCGCGGAAACGGTGACCCGATTGAGAAATTGGAAGAGATTTCTCGGATGCGGGAGCATGTTATGAATGAGGTATCTGTCATGTGATCACCCTGCTTTGTGATTGGCTGCCTTTTGCCATCTTGCTGTTGTCTGATTGGCTTGAGGTTTGCACTTGTTTGACAGTGTTATAGTCAAGTCCATTTCAAAGAATACTAAAGTACAAGGTGATGTAATAGGAATCATTCCTATTAACTACATGTAAGGTGTATATGGACCGAGGACTTTGAAATAATCATTATACGCATACCTATGATACATTTAAATTTGTCAAAAAAAATTATGATTCCTACCCATAATCAAAAGTGTAAGAACTCAACATGCACTGTATTGCCGAGCTGAATCAAGTCCATCACAAGTCCTCACAAGTTCTTACAACTTGTAACATCCTCAATAGACCATCCCAAGTCTTAACAAGTCCTCACAAGTCTTTCACAAGTCCTCACAAGTCCATCACAAGTCCATCACAAGTCCTCACAAGTCCATCACAAGTCCTCACAAGTCCTCACAAGTCCATTACAAGTCCATCACAAGTCCATCACAAGTCCATCACAAGTCCATCACAAGTCCTCACAAGTCCATTACAAGTCCATTACAAGTCCTCACAAGTTCTTCACAAATCATTACAACATAAAATACAAGTCATCACAAGTTTTGTTTCAGATTTGGACTCGACTGCAACACTGGTGTTTTGTGTTGGTTTTTGATTGGCTTTCCGAGCCATCACACAGCTGATGTTGTTCAGCAAGCTTTTTGCCAACTTTGGCTACTTTCCCCAGTGCATGTTGCCTCTCTGTTGCCTGTAGTTCTTACATAATCCCTGCTGCGTGTATACAGAAATACTTGTTCAGCAAGCAAACAAAAAGGCAAACAGGAAGTTGGGGGTTTGAGTCGTACCTCGCAAGCTCTTGGTCAGCTCTCATTAAGTTAAGTCACTGAAGGGTAAAGTCCATTTTTATCATTGATATCTTCCTGCCGAGAAGTTCTTTCAGAAACAGCTTTGAATTACTCTCCACCCAGAAATTGACGTATGCTTACCATATTTTCAAGTCAAAACAAATAGGAACAAATCGTCACTGCACCACGAAGTGACACTAACCTCGAAAAATCGATATTTTGCGATTTAGATTTTTTTCCTCATTTGTGATTAATTACACATAATCTTTCACCTCAAGAAGTTACTAAGCGCATAGTTAATTAGTTTTGTCAAAACATTAATTAACATTAATTAACATTTGCAACTTAATGGGTCAAAACCGGAAAATGCGTTTTTAAAACCGGAAAATGTGTTTTCACGAAGTGTACTAAACCATTCTTTCGCGTGTAAAGTGCCTGCACACTACGCGTCAAAAAATGGGTTTTGCGTTTTCACGAAGTGACACAAATGTCACGTGATATGCGCGACTCATTTCTTGCGTTATCACGAAGTAGCTCTAACCCATTAGCTAATACACGTGGTTAGCGTCACTTCGTGAAACCTCGAACACAGCGTAATCTGAATTTTGAGTTTTCACGAAGTGACGTTATAATTAATTAGTTTGATAACTCATTAATAGTAATTTATTTCAATGAAAATCATACATTAACGTGTCATTCAAGATCCCAGCTTCCAGACAATGTAAAAAATATAAATTTTGAGGCTAAAACGATGTTCAGATCACCGTTTCAAATCATCGCCAACTTATATCGCTTGTATCTCGAAACACACATTTTCCACTTTGCGGGGGTTAAGGTCACTTCGTGGTATCAGTGACGAAATATGTGTACGTTTTTTGTCAAAGTCAGGCAAAATTTGGGCAACATGTCAAAAACTTTGTTTTTATATGTATTCACCTACCAGTATTAAGCTTAAAATTGTTAATATTTTTAGTGCATGCACATCTTTTATCTCATGAACATTTTTCACCGACAGCGGGCGACATCACAAAGGCCAGTGAAACCTATAGCCATTCATATGTCAACCTCGTCCCCAGTGCTTACTTTATTTCCAACGTTGTTTCCAATAGTAAACCCTGGATAGGAAACTTCCTTCCTGCATCCTGATTCGATACCGCAATTGGCTAGAAATGGATTTATATTGTGTACTAGGTGTTGTTATTCACAACGTGAAGTACGTATTTTCGCGATCATCTGCCCACGCCTTCTCGAAAATATTCATTTCCTTTCCAGTTTGTTAATATTAATATGAAATGTGATACTGCATGTTGTCTCGTTAAGATCGTAACAGTTTAATTAAAATAAAATCATGTTTTCGTAACTCACGCCATGCTCGCGCTGCGACGAATTGATTCTGTTTTTACCCCAGACACCGCATACAAAAACAAACGCAAATGTAACGCACAGGCAGGCACTATACTACTCCTAATTTGCATACGTGTTCAAAAATCTTGCACATGCAAATGATCCAATACCAGGGTGAGAGAGCAGGTAGTGGTGGGCCCGTACTGCTCGACACCCTGGGTACGAGGTTGCTCATATGTCTTTTGTTTTTACCGTTTTACCAGCCAAGCACGTTTGCATTGTGGCACACAGCATGCTTTTTATGTTTAGTCATTTGTTCGTCCATGATGCACGCACACAGGCATTCAGCATGTTCAGTTGTATTTTTGCCTTTGGCTTAGCTTTAAGTTCTCATTCTTTTCAAGAAATACAATTCTTTTCCTTTAATAAATTTTCAAATTGTATGTTTTCATGGTTTTAATTTAACAAAACAAAATCTGTTTTCCTTTTTTTGGGTGTCTGCAACCCACTGGGAAAAAAAGTTTTTTGTTTTGGGCACAAACAGATCTGCTTTGCGAGCAGACTGGCTCCCAGTCCGTACATTAGTGATACTGATTGAGGGGTGGGAAGTTGGGAACCAGCCTACCCCTCGAGAACCAAATTATTGTCTGGTACATGTACTTTAACCAATAATTTGATAACTAAACGTGGGCCGATTTTTTTTTTATCGATGTCTCATTCAAAAGTGAATAACTTGTGTATTGCAAAGTCCAAACAGTCGGAACACACACTAAATTGCTACTTTTTTTGCACGAAACAGGTGTTAGTGTCATTGTGTTTAAATGGTGATATTCATTGAACAGATTGAGCAATTTCAGTATTTTTTTTCCATCTAAAATTAGTTTCTGAAATTGGCTTTCCAGTCATTATTACTATTATTTTATTGATTATTATTACGTTATTGCTACATATTTGTTTAACTATGAAATATATTTTTGGGGGTTTGGGTTCCAGGTTACGCCACGTTAATGCTTGAAAAGCAAAGTTCTCAAATAATATGTTTAGTTGTTCCATAAACACTGTGTGAAGTCTCAAAGAGATGACATGCTGTCTCCTTATGACAGAATTTAAATCTTTAGTTTGCTTGATCATGTCACTGCCATTTTAATATTCACTGCACAAAACAGCCATATTGTAACCAAAGTGAGGTTACACTTGCAAAGCACAGACGTGCACATCATTACTGTGTAAGTTGCTGAGAAACTTTTTGAAGTGGACTGCACAATGCATTATTTGTTTCTGACTGTACCAAATCCCACAAATCTAATCAGTGCAGAATTGCTTGTTGAACATGTCATTAGTTTTAACGCGCGACAAACTACAGTGGAGACTCGTTAATACAAACACGTTCAGACCTAGCCAAATTGTTTGTTATATCAGAATTTTGTATTAAGAGGAACATCAGTCCCATTCATTGTGCACATAAATGCACAGTCAGGACCAAGGCTTTATGTTTGTTTTAACTAGAATTTTGTATTAACAGAGTTTGTACTAATGAGAGTCGACTGTACTTATTCATGAATGTTTATGCTCTTTGAAAGTTGTAGTTGAGTCAAAGCACAAGTCACTTCAAAAGTAATAGGGGAACCCTAGGGGTGTGCATTTGAACCGGGTCCCCGAGTACCCGATCACTGACATCAGGAACCAGTTCCAGATTATGGTATCGGGTACCCGTACCCAACTTTGGAAATAACCATAGAGCTATATTAAATTACTAGAGTGCTAACTTCGTGTACAAAGTAATGCCTGCTGGGCGCATCCATGTTTGTGCACAAACCTATGGAGACCTAGACATTTTGTACGGCTTTTGTACGGTTATTTGCATATCTGCGTTTGTATTCCATACCGGTGCGTTATCGAAGCCGATACGCCCAAAACTGAAACGCACGATCATGTCATTTTGTTCTACGCAAACAGCGCAACGTGTGCACGGCGCGCTACAGATGCTTTTTGCCGTCACGTTTTTTTGAACCGTCAATGATGCACTTAAGTTGTTTGCGTATGTTCTACTTGCGCGTTGCATGTAGAGTACACTTTCAAAATTCAATCCATCTAATTTCATTATGTTCTACAAACACGCACATGAATTCAAAAATGTCTGCGCCCAGGACGGCTTCAAAGCATCTCCGCGCGCAGAATGACGAGTTAGCGCTCTAGTAATTTAATATAGCTCTATGGAAATAACCTAATAACTTCTAAAACAATGAAAGAAAAACATCTGACTCAATAGATTCTGCACATAACATGTCTATGAAATGGGATTACATGTAGATGATTTTTGAATTCAAAACTTAAATTCACTTTTTTTGTGAAAACAAATTTATGGCCATTTCAAACTTTTAATGTGTTAATGAGCAAGTTTAATCCCATTCATAAGATGGCATTTGCGTCAGGGCGATGTAAATTCAGCATTGGGTTTAGCCCTTCACTGAAGTGACGTATTAATATAAACACTGTATACTCAGAGTGTTGTCCAGAGTGATTGTGAGATAAAGATCACTCGGCTGGGACTTGAACCCATGACCTCCTGCTTACTAGTCTTACCACTCGACCACTGAGCTTGCCTGGGTCGGCTGGCTGGTTCCAATCTGATATAGCAGCGGGAACAGCAACCAAACTGTTCATAAGATGAATAGTGTTTATAAAAATGTGTGGGTGAAGGGCAAACCTAATAATGAATGTAAAGTCTCACCTGCCTAGATCCAATCAAATCCTCCAAGAGGTGATAGAGGATCTTGCAAGATTGAGAGAGGTCCAGCCCAACTGCTGTGCCTTCACATTGGGATGTGAAGACCCTGAAAAGTTTGAGTTAGTTTATGCAGCTTAATGAATGGGGGGTTTGCGGTAACACCATGTGAATAACAGATATCTCTTAGTGAGTTGTGTGGTTCTGAGAAGAACCAGTTGGTTTAACTCAACGTTTTGAACAGTATGCTCTGCTCGTCATCAGGAAGATGAGCAGAGTATACTGTTTGAAATGTCAAGTAAAACCAGCTGATTCTTCTCAGATGACAAGCAAAGCATGCTGTTCAAAACGTCGAGTTAAACCAACTGGTTCTCCTCAGAACCACACAACTCACTAGAGATATCTATCATTCACATGGTGTTACCGGAAAACCTCCCATTCATTGATTATGTCCACCATGCAAACCCTCAAGTTTTATTTCTGCAGCTTACCAATCAATTCTTCTTCTTTTTCAGATCGACAAAAATAAAGACAAGATGGTGAGCAAGAGGGAGTTTCTGGATGCGACACAGGCTGAAGATTTTGACGAGGACAAAGGCTGGGATGTAAGGAAATGATTTGTCTATTAAAGATAAAGCTTGAGGTCAAACGTAGATAAATTTCATAGAGTTTGGAACTTTAACCCTAACCGCCCTGAATCCTCCAAAATCCTTTTTGCAAATTGGAGGAATTTGCAGGATTAAGGTTACATGGCAAAAGTGCGTTGCTGATTTCGGAGTACTCACTTTGTCAAGGTCTTGGGCCAGACCTTGTGTTGTTTATGCTCAGCCGTGCATAAATTTAGTCCTTGATTATACTTGAAATCCTCCGCACTGCTCCAGGATGTCACTGCCTCTGCCTCAGCCTATTGACAGTCATAGTCGGAGGATTTTGCAGGATTCAGGCAGTGGTCGCCCCTCCATGGACCATATTCAAGAAATAACAGAGGAATTTGCAGGATTGAGGCTATATGCTATTTTTCCACGAGGCCAATTGGAGGATTTGGCAGGATTGAGGCTACATCCTAGCAAAAAGGCCTAGGGAGTTAGGGTTAATTAAAGTATGTGCTAATTCGGGGAACAAAATTGGAAGCCTTGTTTGAGATAGCACCACGTTCGCGCTCATGCCGGACGCATTGTTAAAGTTAAGACGTGCGCGCATTTTGCTAACCCAATTGGTTGAAGGAGCCTGGAGTGCATGCGTACCACCTGAGCGCGACTCACTCAGATAATGCCGCTGTTGCAGAATTTGTCTATAGTTGTTTAGGCACCACATGACAATAGGGCTCATTTAGTGACGGCCATTTCTGTAGGAGAACTGCAACTGCGTATTTTACGCAATCAAACACGCATTGCGCAGTGTTGAAAATGTTCCAAACACGCGCGCTTGTTGCTCGAAATGTGTTTGAAATACGACGCAGCCGATGCGTGTTATGCAAGTTGACGCTCAAAATGCCGATGTACGTGGATGGTCTGTAGGAAATGACGTCATTTGAACGAGACCAATACAAATGGTTCATTAACCGTCAACAGTTCCAAAACGCTAGCCTCACCAACCACTTCAGGATGGTGTGCCAAACAATTCACGCTTCACTGCTCACAACTTTTCATGGGTTTGAATAAGTTCCAAATTTGTTTGTCAATTCAGTGGTGATGCTTGCACGTTAGTCTGTTATGATAGCATAAGCCTTGACTCTAGGGTATTAGTGGCGGATGAACCTTTGAAGTTGGGTATTACACCCACATCTTTGTTGGGTGCATCCAGGGTAAAAATGCCTTCCTTTGTTCACAGCTGGACTGGTTGGCAAATATCCCATTGTTTTAGAGGGCCCCAAATGATAAAAAGAAAAGTCCCAAATGATGTCATGGATGTGGCTAATCGTTCGGGGCAATTCTATGGTGGTTGGCAAACCATTTGTATCGTGACGTTGGCCCTTTTTTTGCTTGGTAGTGAAACCATGAGGGTTCCTCATAGTGCACAGGAACTGTAGCCTGGAAGCCTAAAAAAATATTGTAGAAAGAGAAGACGAAGAAATATTCAGTTTTGGAGGTGGGAGGAACATTACATTCCCAGGAAAACCCATGGAAGCATTTGGGGACTGAAAACACAGTCCAGTTAAAGGGAATATACAACCTTTGCAAACATCGAAAAACAAAACTACCAATTTTTTACGAAAAACCTTACTAGGATGTTGGTAAATGACAGTCTAAAGCATCCTGTAAAATTATGGCACCTGGTGTGAAGTCATTTTCAAGAATAGTGGTATTTTTGTTTAAATTTCCAACGGTGGTCAGCCGACCACCGTTGGAAAAACCTAACTATTTTTTAACTACTGCTCCAAATTTACCATTTTTTTTTTTCAGTCCAAATTTTGTTTGCTATTGGTCACATGTTCATGAACCGGTGCAGGCCAGCTAGACTGGTTCCCTTACCATACAATTTTCCAGCATCTATAAATTGATCCATTTTATCTTTAGTGGAGTCAGGGAACCAGACTATTTGAACATTTTTGTTTTTCTTGGTTTTTCCAGCATTTTCGAACACAAAACTTCCAACATATTAGTGTAACAATATTTTGATCTATTATACCGGGTACTAGCCACTCAAATAATTCATTTCTAAAAATTACACCAAAAGCCAATGATGTACATTCCTTCCAGTTAATCTGCATGTTGGCTTGGACAGGAATTGAACCCAGGTCACACAGGTGGCAGGTGAGGAACGAACCACTGTGCCAACCTGACTCCTTTGTTTTCAGCTTGACGGATATTGTTCAGTGACCTTAAATGACATGAGTATCACATCTAGGGCTGTCCTGAATATACCAAGTACTCAACCGGATATTTAAATAGCTTTTTGCCGGTTTATACATTCGAAACCAAAAAAACTATGCAGGCACACACACAATTGTGATTTTATCAGCAAGTTGCAGTGCTTTATTGTCAGGTGCCACATTTTTTGTCTGCGATATTTTTTGTAGACGGCGGTTCATGGTTCACATCCTTTTAGCAGGCCAATCCCTTTTTACAGCTATAAAATACCAACTGCAAAACACTCCAGCCCCCATATCGATTGCCGCACGCAAATTTTAACTGGCTTGCTCTTTGTGCAAATGTTTACCAGCGTAGCACCCAGTTGCTGCTGGCAGTTCCAAATATCTGAATATTCAAACAAACGCAGTTTCGAGTAATCAAATACAAATTTTGAAAATGCACAGCCTTAATCGCATCTTTATAAAGGTGATGCATGTACCGTACTGTTACACTTCTGTCATTTGAGAGACATTGGTTGGCCTAGAACCAGTTACTTTATACTGAGTTGGCAAATTGTATTTACATGTAGTTATCTTTCTTTATTTTGGGGGTTAGGACTTGGAGGATCAGGACATCTACACGGAGGATGAACTGGAGAATTACGAGAAGAATATACAAGATGAGATGAGGAACCTCAAGATGAGGATGCAGCAGGAGCACGATCAGTACAAGCAGAACAAACAGGGACAACCTGGAGACCCAGTCGTCATGAGTCAGGTAGGGTTCGAACCTCCAATATTAAAAGTAGGGAGTTAAAACCCAGTGGCCAGAAGAGACTTGAACTAAAGACACGGAAGTAAGGGAAATGAGTCAGGTGGGATGTGAGCCTCGATGTTACATGGATGAGGTTAGAACCTCAGGCGACGAAGTCAGGGAGATAGGTGGGGTGAGATTGGAACCTTAGACGATACAATAAGGGAGATTGGTTGGGTGAGGTTTGAACCTCAGACAATGAAATAAGGGAGATGGGTCGGGTGAATCTTGAGCCTTAGATGATGAAATGAGGGAGAGGAGTCAGATGAGTCTCAAACCTCAGACGATGAAATAAGGGAGATAGTTCGGGTGAGATTGGAACCTTAGACAATGAAATAAGGGAGATGGGTTGGGTGAGGTTTGAACCTAAGATGATGAAATGAAGGAGATGGGTCAGGTGAGGTTTGAACCTCAGATCATGGAATAAGGGGAGATGGTTCGGGTGAGGTTTGAACCTCAGATGATGAAATTTGGGTTATGAGTCGGGCGAGATTTGAACCTCAGATGATGAAATGAGGGAAAGGAGTCGGATGAGTTTCCAACCTCAGACGATGAAATGAGGGACATGGGTCAGGTGAGGTTTCAACCTCATATGATGAAATGAGAAAGATGGGTCAGGTGAGGTTTGAACCTCAGATGAGGAAATGAGGCAGAGTAGTCAGATAAGTTTCAAACATCAGACGATAAAATAAGGGAGATGAGTGGGTAACATTTGAATATTACATAATAAAATACGGAAAATTGAATAAGTTGCAGATCGAACAACAATATCAGAATTATTGTGCAATATACAACAGGAAACCCTAGAATAACGTACTTTTTCCACTACTTAACATTTTGCCCACTTGATCCATGTCCAGTACCCTCCTACATTAGACAACATCATCAATGTTCTTCTAATATCTATCAGTATTCATGTCCCAGGGCTACTGTTTCTGCCATGAGCACCTGTTTTGACATATTTTCTCACTTACAAATTAAGGGTAGTGAGGGTCTCTTAACATACCTTGATAACACTTCAATTTCCCACAATATACATGTTCCAGGGCCATGTACTAGTGCCAGGTGTGATTCGTGTATTTATCTCAATATAAAAGCAATTTCGGTATTTAATGACCCGAGGTCATTCGGGATAACATTGCTGACGTGATGTAACGTGATGTTACGCGCATGCCCATTCTGCTCGTTATTGACACACAAGCATCGTGCGCCTCGCGCGTTCATGCGCCTTGGATCATTTGATTATCCCGAATGACCCGTGGACCATATCGTTGTGCACATGGCACAGTTGAAATACTGAACTGGCTTATTCAAAATAATGAGTGATTCTCCTTAACTCCCTAGGGTGTGTGAAAAATTATTTTAAGATTGGAGGATCCGTGACTGTCAGGGTTGAAAATAGCCTCCTAGAATAGACAAACAAGCACTATTCCAATATATCCAGTAGTTCTTCCTCCACCATTTCAATCGTGAAAAGCAATAATTTATCAGATTGTTCCAAATTACAAAGTATCCATGATCAGGGCCTCCTTCAGTAGAAAGCATTGAACATACTCCAATATAGTCTTCCCCGTGATATTCATGTTCCAGGGCCTTTGTCTAGTCTACATGTATATTTTTTCATGTTTTTGCAATTCAAATTAAGATCCAACACTAACCGTCAAAGTATCTCACAGTATCAATGTTTAGACACACGGTTTCTAACCCCATCACCGATTATCCATGTCTAGGGGCCTCTAAGATTAGACAACATCACCATTCCTCCAATCTATCCAACAATATCCATGTTCCAGGGCCAAGTTAAGCTCGATCCCAAACAGTTAGCTGAAAATGCTATCCAAGATGCAGCCGATAGGGAAGCGGAAAAATTCCACGAGACCAACGAGCAAATGAAAAACCTCGTGGATGGAGTAGCAAAGCAAGTGCTCGAAGCCCAGAAACAACAGCAAGACAATATACAACAACAACAACAACAACAGCAGCAGCAGCAACAGCAACAACCGCCGCAGCAGGTAAATGGATTGCGACACAATTGCGACATCACTAACTCATTCTGCGAAATAAACTCACACGAGCTCCCTGAATGCATACGTGTAGTGATGTGTGTCACTTCCTCGGTGAAGCACAGCCATTGCAACCTGACGTGTTACTGCTGTAGACTGTCACCCGTCTGTTTTGTTTTTGTTTTTTTCACTTCTTTTTTTTGTTTTTGTTTATGTTTATCACACACAAAAACAGCTCGGACATTGCAAATTTGCGATAAAACTTCAATCACGTAATACAAAAATTGCAACCATGCCCTTCAGTTTCTTATCAAAAACTCACCTTTAAATCTCTTCATTTCATATTGCAACACGACAAGCTCGCTATTTAGTTGCTATAATTCAATTCAAAAGTTAGAAATGCCTTAGTATCATCATCATTTCATCATGGCAAGCTGGCCATTCTTTCAAATTGAAAATACCCTGGAAGCACAGACTGGTATCCACAAACGTTTGACTTTTGCGTTAACCTTTTTAACACAGAATTTGTTTGTAATTTAGGGGTTTTCCAGTCTGCCATTTAGTGCAGCAAAAACCTTTTACAACACAGCAAAAACTGAGTACATAAATCCCTCCGTTTACCATGAAACATTAACCCTCCTATGGAAACATGCATTGTCAGCCTGCAGGCATGCAACTTTTCCTCAGATCAGCTGATTTCCTTCTTTTTTACTTCCCATGTGTGCCATTGAAAATAGAAAAACACTGTACAAAGTCTGGGGAAAATTTGAATTTCCTCTTTTTTGTGATTTCCCAGTTGCATGCCTGCAGCCTGGTTATTACTTGGGTCAATATTGGTCAAGACCCCCATTGGTTTGAAACAACTAACATCACTTTTTTATAGAAAACAGCAAGAATGTATTTTAACACATTTGATCATTAACCCTAACCACTCCCAACCCTTCAAAGTCCAACTGCATGATTTGTTGGATTCTATTGGAGTGAGGACTGCACTAGTAAACTGATTATGCTTGACATGGGTTCAGGCATACCACCATATTCAGAGTACAACAGTTTAGTTGTAGAGTTTACCATATGGTGTTGGATTGTGCAAGAGTGTGGACGGTTTCTCGTAAATCACTCAAGGGGGTTAATGCATTTGAACGACCCTATCATCTACACAATCTACATGACCATCATTACCAATGAATATTCATTAATCATGCGACATTACTAAGGGAATAACAGTGTGAGGAGCCGGTCTTCACTGCGTGATAATGACCGGGTTTGGGGGTGACCGCTGTTAATGGACCGAGACGAATTAACAGCGGTCACCCCCAAACCCGGTCATTTTCACGCAGTTGAAGACCGGATCCTCACACTGTTATTCCCATTAATAAATACCTTTTTAACGAAATAAACAGTTAAAATGCTCCAATTTTGTGACTTTTTCCGGCGATATTTCCAGACTTTTTCGTGTTCATGTTCATGGGCCATATTTTAACTTATACGTGGTACCCTGTCTTTTCAGTAAGCGTTGTTATATACACCACAGTCGGGCCCAGGCTGCGCTGGACAATTGCAATGTCTTCATTGCGTACGCGTACGACTTCTGCTGCCGTAGCCAAACAAATTACAACAATGTTTTCATATTTTTACCTTATGGAGGAAGCTGAATTTCATTTACACATTCCTTGTGTCCAGAATTACAAAGATGCTTGGTTTAGGAAAGGTAAATATGTCGATGGGCAAAGTATTTACAGAAAAATAAATCGTAGATCTACGCTTTCGTCGTAACATCCCGAGTATAGTGCACTGCCGCTGTACCATGTCGTTTCAAAACTTCCTTACGCGCGCGCACCCATAGCAACTGTGTTGCGTACGCACGCATCAGTCTCACGCGAAGGTGGTTGAGCACATGTGCAGTGCTGTATTGTTACAAGCTGCCGTATGACTGTTGTAAATTTGGCCAATCATTGCCTTCCATGGGGCTGGATCAACGCTGGTTCAGGGGCCATTTATTCGCTTGTTCTTTGAAGCCGGTCTTTATATCACCGTTAATGCCCGGCCACGTGATCGAGTCTCGACCATTCAGAAACCATCAACTCTCCAAGGTATTTATTAATTTGCAATAACTATATTTCGTGTATAGAACATGTCACACCATAATGACGTCTGTCCAAAATGTTGTTAAACTTGTTTTCTTTCCTAATGTTGTTTTCTTTGTTTTTATTTATGTGATGTGAGTTTTATTGAGAGTATCTTTCTCTTCTTGCAAAGCTTCGCAACACAAGAAAAGTATCTCATGCCTTCTCATTGATAGTTTTTTCTTAAGTTTCAATATTTGTTTCTGTCACTGATATCCCTGTCTGTTTCACAGTAAAAGACAGTAATAAGCACAATCCTTGCTGGCCACGGAAGTTCTACCCTTGTATCACTGCCCTGGCAAACTGAGTCAATTTTGACACTCGACCACCAATCAAATTGTCTGCCTGGACTCTGTGGAGTATGTGACATCTGAATATTCATGATTGAATATTCACAATACTTGATCTACAGAGCGTGTTTCATGAGCCTTTTGGGGCATTTTGTTTTAGGCAACAAACAATATGGCGACTCTTGTCCGACCGTACTGTAGATGAGTATGTGAGCTGGACAGCTTTTATAACAAGCGATCTGATTGGACAGAAATTGTGTCAATCCATATTTGGAAGTGTCATGAACAGTTAATGACGTGAGGTCAAAATAGTACATAATGTGAACTCGGTTTTCCAGGGTAACGTCTTACATTTGTATGAAGTACACGAGTGAGACTACCCTGGCTAGTGAGAATGTACATGTAATGCACAGAAGGAGCTAAAAATGTCGCAACAATAAACTTAATCTTTTCACTACACATGTACTGTCACTAACACTATAGACCCCTCCCATGTGACACCATCTTTGTATGAAAATTTACAACTGTGTATTCAACGCCATCAGGTACGTGTGCGCATAGCCCAATAAATGTGGCCTATTTACTGGACTGCCTCCGTAAACATAGGCCACACATCCACATGTACAAAAACGTGTCGCACTTTGCCAAATTTTGATTTTCACATTTAGGCTTAGTTTGTAGTGGTTTTTTTTTGCTTTAGAAGCATACATGTACTCACCCTCTTTATAGGGTAATCAGAAAGTGCTACCTTTTTCAGATGTCTATTTTTCGTGAAATTTCCAGATACATTTGCACACGTTTGCGTATCAAAATTTCAACATGAAATTTCACAAAAATTAGACATCTGAAAAAGGCAGCACTTTCTGATTAGCCTTTAAAGAGGGTGAGAATGCTTCTAAAGCAAAAAAAACCCCTACAAACTAAGCCTGAATGTGAAAATCAAAATTTGGCAAAGTGCGACACGTTTTTGTATATGTGGATGTGTGGCCTATGTTTACGGAGTCAGTCCAGTAAATAAGCCACATTTATGGGGCTAGTGTGCGCAGTGTGCAAAATGTTCTCAACACAAATTTCTTAGAAATACAGCGCGGTACAGCCGATGCGTGTAACAAAAATGCCAATGCACGTGACAATCTGTTGGCAGTGACGTCATTTGACATGTTTGAGAGACCTACTGGTCAAAGGGGCCCGGAGTGCATGCATACTACCTGATGCGACTCACACAAGCCTGGTACCACTGCAGAAAATGGCCGCCGCCGGATGAGTCTATACTATAAAAGTGATTTTTCTTTCTACAGAATGAGTAAAAAAAAAAAACCAACCCAAATGTCAGGACCATTGTTTTAGTGAAGTTCTGCATGTAGCACTTTCAAAATCTAGGATATGAAAATCCAATTCATAAGCTTGCTTTTAGTACAAAAATCATTCGAATCATTCATGTACTTTTCAGGTTATGGAGTTTTAAACAATACTGCTGTTTTAAGGTTCTGTCCATGGATCATAAAAAGTTCAGTGTTCTTTCAGCAAAACGAAAAACAAATCACATAGGAATGTGTGTGAATTGTTTTCGTTTTGCTGAAAGAACAGACCACCTTTTTTGCGATCCATGGACATAACCTTAAAACAGTGGTTGTGTTTAAAACTCCGTAACTTGAAAAGTACATGAGTGATTCTAATGATTCTTGTACTTAAAGAAAGACTATGAATTGGGCTTTCATATCCTAGATTTTGAAAGTGCTACATGCAGAACTTCACTCAGACAATGGTCCCCACATTTGGGTTTCGGTTTTTTTACTCGCCCTGTATGTGTGTGTATCAGTTGCTCATGCAAATCAGGCTGCTATATTGTAAAACCTGCTTTCTATGTGTGTTAATCCAAAACAATTTTCCTGCAAATTGGAAAAGGTGGTTAAGTCCTCTTATGTTCTTTTACGCCTAGCAAGATATTCGTTGAAGAAAGGAACTGTTTAAATTTAACTGTCGTTTTATTTATTCTCAATTCAAACTCGTCAGTAATTGGAAACAAACATCAGGTAAAGATCAATTCTGATATTCACACTTCAGTCAGCGTTACTTTGTTTGCACGCTTGCTTTGCACTTGTTTCAATGCCAGACACGGGCCAGCTTTTGTCCGCTGTGTTCGCCATGTTGCCTTTTTTTCCAAGAGCTTTCTGTTTGTGTTCTTGCCGCAGAAAGCTGCATGTCAAGCGTTCAACTTTTCTCTGTTTCATTTTCCACTGTAAACAAATAATACAAGAGTTTACGTTTATATTTTGTTTATAATACTATCAAACTAGGAGGGAATTTTTGGGTTTATTTGCTGAACTGGTTATGTTGGTTAGTGGGAGAACAGTTCACACAGTTTTGTTCCGTAATTGTAGGGACCACACACCTGTTGAGCGATAGTTATTATGGGGACCGAAAACACTATGGGGACAGCAGAAAGTCCCCCTAACTCGGTCCAAATTTCCCTAATAGAAAACTTCCCCATAACGGGGTGTCGGCTGGGGCTTGTTATGTGCTCTGACACACATTTCTTAAATATTTTATTTTCAATCAAATTTTTGGACAAATGATAACATTTAGTTGCTTACCTTAAATTTTGTTTGCATATATTCAAAAGTTACTGCTACATGTATGTGTTAATACCAAAGTTGACCAAACTGCAACAATCTACATGTATGTTTTGGTCTCATGATTTCTTTTTTCTGTTTTATTGTTCTCTTAAATTGGGTGCATGTTCAGCACATTGTAATACTGCTTTAAAGTTTGTTGTTAAAACTTGTGCACACGTTTACAGTGCTGTTGCTCAGATATCAGTTAGCATGTTATTATTGTCACAGCACATACATATGTTGTGCATCATAAGTTCACTTTTCACTTTCACAGATTTGAGACGAGTTACTTCCAGACACTTGCCACTGTTCACTGTGTACATGTATTGCTTATTTTGAGTTGATTGTCGTTCTGTTTTTTTTCAATATTTTCAACATTTCAGCTGTTGCACCTTGCCTGCTTGTATTGATTTTTGACAGTTTTTATTGCAGAGCTTTCATTATTTTGCTTATCAATGTTGATACATGTATCTTCAAAAAAAAATTGCGCTATGGTTATCAAGCTGCAACTATATGCATTGTATTCTGCGTTGTATTCTGTGTAGTATTGTGGATTGTATTTTTGGATCATGGTATACTTGTTTGGTCTACTGATGTTCTGTATGGTACATGTACTGTATTCAGTATGGTTGATTGATATTCTTTTTGATGTTCTGTACGTGTATGTGGTATTCTGTGTGGTAATGTGCATGGTTTTCTGTATGGATTATGGTAAACGGTATGGTTCATGTACATGTATACTGATATTCTGTATGGTATACTACATGTACATTTTGTGGCCTATTGCTAGCCCCATAAATGTGGCTCAAATGCTAGACTTCCTCCATATTAGTGAGCCACACACTGGTGATAGACAAGGTATGAGGAAAAAATGTCTTTGAGGAAATCGAAATCAGTATTTTATTTTTCTTTCACTTGAAAGTTGCTATGGAAAATACTTACCTGGTTTATAATAACCAGAGAAAATTAAATTCTCTTTCTGTAGATGTCCAGTTTTCCTTTAATTTTCTGGCGAAATTTGAAGTGAGTTCATCCAAAACAGATTGCAGGATTTTCAGTATCCACCATAGTCAATATCAAGTGAAAAAAAGTCCTGATTTTGATTTCCTGAAAGACACATTTTCCTCACACGTAGCCTATCACCAGCATGTGGCTCACTGATATGAAGGAAGTCCAGTATTTGATTCACATTTATGGGGCTAGCCTACATTGTATTGCATGATATACTCTATGGTATACAGATACTCTGTACAGTGTACTCTGTACTCTGATACTCTGCTTAAGGTACAATGTACAAATACCATGGAGAATTTAAAGGGGGAACATTTACTTCGGTATTTTAAAATTGTATCGGATAAAAAAATATGCCGTTAGACTATTTTTCTGTGTAACACCATACATTCTACCAATATTGTCCATTACGTCCAGTGGCGCACCCAGGATTTGGGTTTTTTTTGGGGGGGGGGGGGGGGGGGGGGCTCAAATTTCTTTTAAAAAAATGTTGCCTGAAAAAGTTTGGCCGCAGAAAAAAAATTTGATATTTTTTTTTGGGGGGGGTGACTATTTTGACGTTGGTGGCGCCACTTACACCCCTATTATACTACTTGTCAAATCGTTGGACTAAAAAATAAAATATAATTGGGGGTGGGGGGCCTCAAGCCCCCCCCCCCCCCCCCCCCCCCCCGGGCGCCACTGAATACATCTGAAGGTAACTTATTCAGTTCAAGGTCCATACTACATTGTGTAATGATTTCTGTAGAAGTGTATAAAAACATCGTGATATGAGACCTCTAACTTGTGTCATCTCGTCTGGCACCCTGGCTTACTATAGCAGTCAGGAAGTAGCCGGATTTGTGGTACCAAGCTCACCAATACACTAGTGTTGATATTGAAGTTTTGAAGAAGCTGCTTGTGTGCAGCTCTTCTAGTGTCTGGCTTTTATGTTAAATTGAGTCTTGTTTTTTTTGTTTTCGTCTTTCTAGCAACAAGCACAGTTAGATGCCCAGAAACTAGCCCAACAAGCCCAACTCAAAGCCCAGCAAGAGCAAGCCCAGAGAGCCCAACAACAAGCCCAATTGACGGCGCAACAAGAAGCCCAATTGAAAGCACAGCAAGAATCCCAACAACGAGCACAACAGCAAGCAGCTCAACAGGAAGCCGCCCAACAACAAGCAGCTCAACAGCAGGCAGCCCAACAACAAGCAGCTCAACATCAGGCAGCCCAACAACAAGCAGCTCAACAGCAAGCTCAAATAAAGGCCCAGCAAGAAGCCCAACAGAGAGCACAACAAGAAGCCCAACAGAAAGCCCAACAAGAAGCCCAACAGCAAGCCCAGTTGAAAGCTCAGCAAGAGGCCCAACAGAGAGCCCAACAAGCCCAGCAACAGCAACCACCTCAGCAGGCCCAACAGCAAGCCCAACAGCAGCAGCCACCACAGCAGGCCCAACAACAAGCGCAACAGCAGGCCCAACAACAAGCCAACCAGCAGCAACCACCTCTAAACGCAGCCCAACAAACCCAACAAGCTGCCCGAGATCAAGTCAAACAAGCGCAGCTACAAGCCCAGCAGCAAGCCCAGCAACAAGCCCAACAACAAGCCCAACATGCCCAAATCAGAGCCCAACAAGCACAACAGCAAGCCCAACAACAAGCTCAGCCGGGTGCCCCAGCCCCAGTTGGCGGCAACTCACCAGGATCCCAATAATTCAAAACCCCTTTCCCCAAACATTCCAGGACCTTTCTTTCTTTTGGTGGAAGTATCTCAAACGTAAAGAACTTATTTTTGTAATTGTGGCAATGTTTATGTCGGGGAAGGCTCAATATTGACTCTCTCAAGATTTTGCGGGCCTTCTTCAAGTTTGATACAGAAGCTAGCCTTTAGTTGGTGTTCAGAAAAACTCAGTTTGTATGTTCTTTTTGGGGGTTGGAGCATGTTTGAAGTTTTTTTTTTTTAATCCTTCAAAACATATGTGGAAATGTCTTCTAATTAGTGTTGAAATATGGAATTCTTGATGCCTGTTAGTGATTTATGATATCCCGATTTTGTGTTACAAGTTCATCAGATGTTTACCATCCTATTTTCAAATTGTGGCAAATGTCTATGTAAGAAATCTGTGAATTCATCTCAGTTTAATGTTCTATTCCAGTTTTGTATTTCGCTTCAGTTTCGTGAGTTGCCCCTCTTTTTGAGTATGTCTTTTTTTTTGTGGGGACATAAGTGGTGTTAGAATACTATGTGTATATTAGTAATTTATGTTCAGCACTTCCTGTGGAGGGACTGGCGACAAATTTACTATTTCCCTTTTTTAGACGATTTTAAGTAATAGATTTTCTTCTAGCTCTTAGCATGTCAATAGCATGACCACTATTCTCACTTTGAAATGAACATCGAAAGGGATTATTTTCGTAGTCGATGGAAAAAAAGTTACCTTTTCAAAATCTTTGAGAATTTGCTGGGATCCATTGTCAAAAACCAGCAAAATCAATCAAAAAAACACAACCTGAATTCTTTTTTTTTTTGGGGGGGGGTGATGTTCGATTAACCCTCGTATGCAAACATACATTCTGTGCCAAGTAGTCCTTTCAGTCAAAATCAATCAAGTGACTGTTTTCAACCTGTAAGAATTCCCAGCCCACATGAAACAGGATTGACTCCCTTGGACTGTTTAAGTAACTTGATACAGCTGTGACCACAACTTGCCTGCTTTGTCTGGACCCAGTTTGACTAGACACAGTACTTGCTTGACATATGATCTGACAGCTGGTGACCAGCCGTTGTTAAAGTATAGATGCGAAATGGAAGTGAATTTTGACTGTCTGTGACTGGTACAGCCGGTCCGTGACAAAATGAGGTCTCTATCAACAAGAGGAGTCAAATCCAGTCTTGGCAACATTGGTAGCGCTACCCAGGAAATTCTGAGCATACCTCTATCGCGACGTATTCACGCTAATGCATGCGCATGAGGTACGCTCAGAATTTCCTGGGTAGCGCTGCCAATATTGCTAAGACTGAATTTGATTCATCTGGTGGCTACAGACCTCTGCAGCGGCGGCAAATTAACGGCATTTGTCACGGGACTGGCTGCAAAATAGGGGAAAACAAAAAACAAATCCAGTTTTGGATCAAGACTAGGAACTGCTGAGCAGAAAAGATTGCTTATCATAAGTTGGAGTTACTCCCAATTCCAGACAGAAAAACAGTGTACAAGATTTGTCATGCTTCAAACCAACAACACAGTCCTGGTAGACGTGTTAAAAGTTCCAGTTGTGTTTAAGATGTGTGTTTAAATTCCAGGTGTATTTCTAGTTGTTAAGACACTGCTTGGGTATTTTATCTAATTACTGTGCTTGAAGTTCGGACATCGAATTTAGCTTTTTTCGCTTCTCTGATGTCTTGCAGTAGTATAGGCATTACTGTTACTCCACCTGAAAGTAGAAGAGTATGGTTGCAATCTGTGATCAAAAGATCCAGGAATGTTATCGTAGGGGATTCAACTCCAACTTGGACACCATTTTGTGGTTCCCGAAAATCGTTTGCAAGATCTACCCCAAAACTGTGAAATTCTGCGTGTCAGGATTTGAATTATGCCAACGAGGGCGCCCCACTCAGGTCGGGGGCTCAGCAATACTATCATTCAAAGTGTTAGATAAACAAGACTTCAGGGTTTGCATGGTGGACATGATCAGTGAATGGGGGGTTTGCGGTAACACCATGTGAATGATATCTCTTTGTGAGTTGTGTGGTTCTGAGATGAACCAGTTGGTTTAACTCGACGTTTCGAACAGTATGCTCTGCTCGTCATCGGGCCCACCGAACTTAGCATCCTGCTCCAGAATCTCCAGTCTCCACTGTCTAAGCATCCACTACTTAAACTACTACACCAGCAAGAGTTCGGCAGCCTCCTGATGACGAGCAGAGCATACTTTTCGAAATGTGGAGTTGAACCAACTCAAAACCACACAACTCACTGAGAGATATCATTCACATGGTGTTACCGCAAACCTCCCATTATTTGAAAGTGTTAGACAGTTGTAGCAGGTTAGACGTAGACTTTTATTAAATAGTGAAAAGAAGAAGTACATGTATGTAATGTACTTTTATTGCCAAGACAGTTATGCATTGTGATTGTTTGTGTAAGAGGTTTTTTGTTGTATGCAAGGTTCTCTATTTTTCTTTTTTCTTTTTTAATCAAACTTGTTGCCAAATTGCAATGTTTCCTTTTTATAAATCCTTGATGAATTTTAAGTTGATACTCGCCAAAACTGGTCACCAGCTATTTGTGTTATTTGTGACAACACTCTTGATATTTTCTGGAATAAAAACTTGGAACTCAACACACAAATGGCACCGAAAACACAGTTTGTCCTTTAATTCCGACATTGATTTTAGTCATCTTCTATACAGACATGTACAATGGTGTAAATATTTCCCCCCCCCCAAAAAAAATGCTTACAAACACGCTAATGCATGCGCATGAGGTATGCTCAGAATATCCTGGGTAGCGCTGCCAATGTTGCTAAGACTGAATGTGATTCATCTGCTGGATAGAAACCTCCACAGCTGGACTGGCTGCAAAATAAGGAAATACAAAATTCAAATCCAGTCTTGGATCGAGACCAGGAACTGCTAAGCAGAAAAGATTGTGATAGTGAAAAGAAGAAGTACATGTATGTAATGTATTTTTATTGCCAATACAGTATCAGCCGTGCGAAGCACGCTGGTATACTGTGATCGTCCGATTTCTTTCTTTACCTTCGTCGTCCAACGATTAAGGTACTGTATTACAGTCGTTTCTTTACCTTAGTCGTCCGACGTTTCTGTCTTCTTCTTCTTACCTTAGTCGTCCAAGTCGTTTCCTTCTTTCCAATTGTCAGGTGACCAAATGCGGTCACATGATCAAATTTAGGCAATTTTTTTTAAATTGCAATAACTCATAAAATAATCAGCGGATTTCAAGCAAACTTGGTCAAATGGACACGTGCCCTTCCTAGCCACGTTCATAGCCAATGGTCATATGATGGTCACTAGTGGTCATTTCATGAAAATCTACAAAATGCTTCTCCCACAGTTTTGACCGAATTAATGTTAAACTTGGTCAGTTACATCTTTGGACCATGCCTCATATAGGGTGTACACAGAATTTAGCCAGTGGTCACCTAACGGTCAGTAGGGTTCATTTTATGAAAAAGTTAAAAATGCTTTTTTACACTTTAAATCTTTGCAGTCCTGTTCAGTGTAATTCTACTTGCGCGCGCAAGTTTAAACTTGCGCGCGCAAATTTCAAAGTTGCGCAAGTAGCAAGTTTGCGCTCGATAGTACTGGTAGTAACGATTGCACGAGGAACAGCGTGCGCGCGAAGGTTTATTAGTCAGACCCTATTTATATCTAACAGTACGTCTAGATTCCAGACTAGCTGCTACAACTCCCCAGTTCATTAGGAATTTTACTGAAAGGTATGCGACAAGGTATGCAATAAAATTCACGACATTGCAAACAAATTCGCATACGTGTGCGCACATATTCGCGAATTGTTTCGCGACATCGCATACGTGTGCGCATATATACGCGATAAATTTCGCGACATCGCATACGTGTGCGCATATATTCGCGATAAATTTCGCGACATCGCATACGTGTGCGCACATATTCGCGAATTGTTTCACGACATTGCATACGTGTGCGCACACATTCGCGATAAATTTCGCGACATCGCATACGTACGTATGCGCACACGTTTGCGATATGCGATGTCCCTTCAGGGCCACCATAGCAGTGCCATCTGCGTGAAGCTAGCCGCGTATTCGGCCCGATACCCCGCCGTGGATTAAAAAGTACGGAGGCCAATAAACAACACTTGCTGTCGGTGAATTGATGTTGAATGCGGATTTCATAAAATTTGCACAATTTTACTGCCTTTTTTTCATAGACCTTCGTCGGATATCGACGACTAAGGTTCGTGCTCGGAGCACAATGTACCTCTAGTTCTTTCTTTCTTTCTTTCTTTCTTCGGGCAAACGGTCACGTGACCAATGAAAAAAATTGTCATAACTCCTAAACTAGCTGGCCGATTTCAAACAAACTTAGCCAAATTAAACCTTGTCACATGCCCTACCTAGCCATGTTCGTAAAATCCGGCCATTTATCATCCAAGGGTTAGTAGAGGTCATTTAATGAATATTTACAAAATGCTGCTTCTCCCACAGTCTTGACCCAATTTTTTGTTTGGAAAAGGGATGGCACTATCCCATTCAGTGACACTTCTTCTCTGGTGACTTGTATGGCTTAGTATGGATTTTAAGCATGACTTAGTCTTTGCCGGTTATGTCCGATTGAAATCATAGAGTGGGCGGACATAAGAGATTAAGTGACTATGATAGGTTGGGTAATCAAATGTGATTAAAGGTGCGAGCAGAGGATTATGTTCGCAAATCCTCTTGTTAGCAATAGCATGCTTTCGTGCCTTGCTGTATGGGCACTCTTCAGTTGCAGATTGGTGATTCAAAAAAGAATCGACGCTGACTCGCGGAAAAGTTGTGGTTGGGATTGGGTATGACTCTTGATCTACAGAGCGTGTTTCATGATCCTTTGGTGCATTTTGTTTTAGGCAAATTATATGGCGACTGTTTTCCGACCATACTGTAGATAAACGCTGGTCAGCTTTTGTAACAAGCGATCTGATTGGACAGAAATTGTGTCAATCCATATTTGGATGAACAGTTAATGAACATGAGGTCAAACTAGTAAATAATGTGAACTCGGTTTTCCAGGGTAACGTCTTATGACGTACATAAGTGAGACTACCCTGGCTAGTGAGAATGTACATGTAATGCACAGAAGGAGCTAAAAATGTCGCAGCAATAACCTTAATCTTTTCACTTCACATGTACCGTCTCTGCAATAGTGTGAATTGCAAAACAAAATTAGACGCCATTTTGGAGGTGGTGCCACGCTCACACGCATGCCGCACGCGTTCTTAAAGAGGAGGCACACGTGCAATTTGGTAACACTATAGACCCCTCCCATGCGACACCATCTTTGTATGAAAATTTACAACTGCGAATTCAACGCCATCAGGTACGTGTGCGCAGTGTGCAAAATGTTCTCAATACAAAATTTCTTAGAAATACAGCGCGGTACAGCCGATGCGTGTCACAAAAATGCATGGCATTCCGCCCCCACCCCCCCCCCCCCAAGATCTCGGCCATTGAGTGACGAAAAATTTTGAAACTCGGCATATGCATAGAGTAACTCTTCCTTAACATACCCAAGAAATTTCATGACTATAGGTCAAAGGGTTTTGGAATTATGGCTAATTAATTATTCATATGTACGAATTGCAATTCTGCTCTGTGTACACGACGTATATGCGAAAATTCAGTTTTCACGGCGCGTAGCGCAGGAAAAATTTTCGCTACGCGGCAACCCGTTGTCCGATTTTTATGTTTTTGGTATCAAAAGATGCGCAAAGCTCGAGGCTAAAAATTCATAACAGCTCGGGTCGCGAGAATTTTTTTTAGAGGCTATCACGGAAAATGTTGAGGGGGCGGATTCCGCCCCCGGCCCCTTTAGGGTTAAGAGTCCAATACTGTAACTTAATTATGACCTTCCTCCATGATTCAGACTTTGTAATTTTATGGTATAACACTCAACATTTCCATTGCAACTTGACACCTTCACGTTTTATTGCATTATGATTTGTTGTCAAAACTATACAAAATGCCAACTTCACAGGCCAACCGGAAAATTTACATACAGTACATAATACATGGTTCATAATTATCATGGGCGTCAATCGGTGAGGGACGGGGACCCCCACCCTAACATTTTAAAGCAGGATATCGTTTGGTCTCCCCCCCCCCCACTTTTTTTCCCGAATAACAATTGTAGCCTACTGTAATTATTCTATTACTCAGAATAGCTGATTCAATGACTCCAAACTCGAAAATGATGTTTAAAAGATGATCTTTTGCTCAAAACAATTGGTTTTACTATGATAGTGGTCAGAAATTGCCCGAGATCGCACCACAGAAATTGCTTTTCTATAACTGCATGTCTTCAACTAAGTCCCCCATTTACATTTAACTCCCTACATTTTTAACCCCAACACAAATACGCCCTACCCGATCTATGATCGGGTAAATCAGCTTGTGTACTATAAAAATGATTTTTCTTTCTACTGGGTGAGTAAAAAAATTCGAAACCCACATGTCGGGACCATTTTTTTTTAGTGAAGTTCTGCATGTAGCACTTTCAAAAGCTAGGATATGAAAGCCCAATTCATAATCTTTCTTTTAGTACAAGAATCATTCAAATCACTCATGTACTTTTCAAGTTACGGAGTTTTAAACACTAGTACTGCCGCTTTAAGGTTCTGTCCGCGGATCATAAACAGTTCAGTGTTCTTTCAGCAAAACGAAAAAAATCACACAGGGATGTGTGTGAATTGTTTTCGTTTTGCTGAAAGAATGCACAACTTTTTTTTTCGATCCGTGGACATAACCTTAAAATGGTGGTTGTGTTTAAAACTCTGAAACTTGAAAAGTACGTGAGTGATTCTTATGAGTTTTGTACTTAAAGAAAGATTATGAATTGGGCTTTCATATCCTAGATTTTGAAAGTGCTACATGCAGAACTTCACTCAAACAATGGTCCCGACATTTGGGTTTCATTTTTTTACTCACCCTGTTTGTGTGTGTTTATCAGTTGCTCATGCAAATCACGCTGCTATATTGTCAAACCTGCTTTCTATGTGTGTTGATCAAAAACAATTCCCCGCAAATTGGAAAATGTGATTTAACCCTCTTGGGTTCTTTTACGCCTAGCAAAATATTCGTTGAAGAAAGGAACTGTCTTTAATTTAACTATCGTTTTATTTATTCTCAATTCAAACTCGTCAGTAATTGGAAACAAACATCAGGTAAAGATCAATTCTGATATTCACAATTCAGTCAGCGTTACTTTGTTTGCACGCTTGCTTTGCACTTGTTTTTGTCAAAGCAGCTTTTGTCCGCTGTGTTCGCCACGTTGCATTTTTCCAAGAGCTTTCTCTTTGTGTTCTTGTTGCAGAAAGCTGCATGTCGACATTTCAACTTCTCTTTGTTTCATTTTCCACTGTAAACAAATAATTTTGCGTTTATATTTTGTTTCTGTTACTATCAAACTCGGAGGGAATGTTTTTTATTTCTGTTTTCCGTTTTGTTGTTTTCTTAAAATGTGTGCATGTTCAGCACATTTTAATACTGCTTTCAAATGTGTTGTTCAAACCTGTGCACACGTTTACAGTGCTGTTGCTCAGATATCAGCATGTTATTATTGTCACAGCACATATGTTTATCTACACGAAATTGTTGCGCATCATTAGTTCACTTTTCACATTCACAGATTTGAGGCGAGTTACTTCCAGACACTTGCCACTGTTTACTGTGTACATGTATTGCTTATTTTGAGTCGATTGTCGTCCTGTTTTTCAGTGTCTTCAACATTTCAGCTGTTGCACTTTGCCTGCTTAATCAGTGTTGATTTTTTGAAGTTTTATATTGCATCAGAGCTATCATTATTTTGCTTACAAAAATCAATGTTAATATCTCCAATATTTTTTTGCACTATGGTTATCAAGCTGCAACTATATACATGTACATTGTATTCTGCGTTGTATTCTGTGGTATTGTGGATTGTATTTTTTTGGATTATGGTACACTTGTTTGGTCTACTGATGTTCTGTATGGTACCTGTACTGTATTCAGTATGGTTCCTGTACTGTATTCAGTATCGTTCATTGATATTCTTGTTGATGTTCTGTACATGTATGTGGTATTCTGTGTGGTAATGTGCATGGTTTTCTGTATGGATTATGGTAAATGGTATGGTTCATGTACATGTATACTGATATTCTCTATGGTACACTACATGTACATTTTGTGGCCTATTGCTTGCCCCATAAATGTGGCTCGAATACTGGACTTCCTCCATATTTTGGGCCACACACTGATGATATACAAGGTATGAGGAAAATGTGTCCTTGATGAAATTAAAACCTGTATTTTTTTTTTCACTTGAAAGTAACTGTGGAAAATACTTACCTGGTTAATAACCAGAGAAAATTAAATTCTGTTTCTGCAGATGTCCAGTTTTTCTGTAATTTTCAGGCGCAATTTGTAGTGAGTTCGCCCAAAACAGATTGCAGTATTTTCTCGTGGATACAGGTTCTGTACACTTGACCGTGTGATTTTCCCTGATTATTAATCCGATAAGTATCCACCATAGTCAATATCAAGTGAAAAAAGGCCCGATTTTGATTTCCTGAAAGACACATTTTCCTCACACGTAGCCAATCACTGAGCGTGTGGTTTACTAAGTCCAGTATTTGATCCACATTTTCTAGGCTAGCCTGTTGCATGATAATTGATATACTCTGTGGTATACAATGTACATTACACTCTGTATAGTATTAAGGCACACAATACCATGGAAAATTTAAAAGGGCACATTTACTTCGGTATAGATTGTATGGTGTTCAAAATATACTGTCAGTCTATTTTTCTGTGTAGCAGCATACATTCTACCAATATTGTCCATTACGTCTGAAGGCAACTTATTCAGTTCAAGGTCTGTATTTCATTGTCTGTACTGCATTTGCAAGTGCATAAAATCATTGTGATACCAATAAGTTGTGTCAACTCGTCTGGCGCCCTGACTTGCTATAGCAGTCAGGAAGTAGCCAGATTTGTGGTACCAAGCTCACCAATACACTAGGTGTTGATATTGAAGTTTTGAAGAAACTGCTTGTATGCAGCTCTTTTAGTGTGTGGCTTATATGCTAACTTAACTCTTGTTTTTCCTTTGTTCCAGCAACAGTTAGATGCCCAGAAACTAGCCCAACAAGCCCAACTCAAAGCCCAGCAAGAGCAAGCCCAGAAAGTCCAACAACAAGCCCAATTGACGGCGCAACAAGAAGCCCAATTGAAAGCAGAGCAAGAATCCCAACAACGAGCACAACAGCAGGCAGCCCAACAGCAAGCAGCCCAAAAACAAGCAGCTCAAGAGCAAGCTCAGTTGAAAACTCAGCAAGAAGCCCAGAGAGCCCAACAAGCCCAGCAACAAGCCCAGCAGCAAGCCCAACAACAAGCCCATCGTGCCCAACTCAGAGCCCAAGAAGCACAACAGCGAGCCCAACAACAAGCTCAACCAGGTGCCCTAGCCCCAGTTATTATTTTTATTATTATTATGATTATTATTATTGATAAATGTTGTAAGTGGTGTTAGAATACTATGTGTATGTTCAGCATATGTGGAAATGTCTTCTAATAAGTGTTGAAATATGGAATTCTTGAAGTCTGTTAGTGATTTATGATATCCCGATTTTGTGTTAAAAGTTCATTAGATGTTTAGCATCCTATGTTCAAATTGTGGCAAATGTCTATGTAAGAAATCTGTGAATTCATCTCAGTTTAATGTTCTTCAATTCCAGTTTTGTATTTCGTTTCAGTTTGGTGAGTTGCCCCTCTTTTTGAGTATGTCTTTTCTGTGGGGACATAAGTGGTGTTAGAATACTATGTGTATATTAGTAATTTTTGTTCAGCACTTCCTGTGGAGGGACTGGTGACAACTTTAGTGTTTTCCCCCTTTTTTAGACGATTTTAAGCAATAGATTTTCTTCTAGCTCTTAGCATGCCAATAGCATGACCACTGTTTTCACTTTAAAATGAACATCGAAAGCGATTATTTTCATAGTCGATGGGAAAAAAAGTTACCTTTTCAAAATTTTTGAGAATTTGCTGGGATCCACTGTCAAAAACCAGCAAAATCAATCAAAACACACAACCTGGATTCTTTTTTTTTTTTGGGGGGGGGGTTGATGTTCGATTAACCCGCGTATGCAAACATACATTCTGTGCCAAGTTGTCTTTGCGATCAAAATCAATCAAGTGACTATTTTTAACCCTTAAGAATTTCCAGCCTACACAAAGCAGGATTGACTGCCTTGGAATGCTTAAGTAACTTGATACAGCTATGCTTGGACTCCTGGAGAGTAATAAAACAGCTGTGACCACAATTTGCCTGCTTTGTCTGGACCCAGTTTGACTAGACACAGTGCTTGCTTGACATATGATCTGACAGCTGGTGACTAGCCTTCGTTAAAAGTATAGATGCGAAAGGGAAGTGAATTTTGACTGTCTGTGACCGGTACACCCGGTCCGTGACAAAATGAGGTCTCTATCAACAAGAGGAGTCAAATCCAGTCTTGGCAACATTGGCAGCGCTACCCAGAAAATTTTGAGCATACCTCTATCGCGACGTATTCACGCTAATGCATGCGCATGAGGTACGCTCAGAATATCCTGGGTAGCGCTGCCAATATTGCTAAGACTGAATTTGATTCATCTGGTGGCTACAGACCTCCGCAGCGGCGGCAAATTAACGGCATTTGTCACGGGACTGGCTGCAAAATAGGGGAATGCAAAAAGCAAATCCAGTCTTGAATCAAGACTAGGAACTGCTGAGCAGAAAAGATTGTTTATCATAAGTTTTACCCGAGTTGGAATTACTCCCAATTCCAGACGGAAAAAAAGATTTGTCATGCTTTAAACCAACAACACAGTCCTGGTAGACGTGTTTAAAGTTCCAGTTGTGTTTAAGATGTGTGTTTAAATTCCAGGTGTGTTTCTAGTTGTTAAGACACTGCTTGGGTATTTCATCTAATTACTGTGCTTGAAGTTCGGACATCGAATTTAGCTTTTCGCTTCTCTGACGTCTTGCAGTAGCATAGGCATTAGTGTTACTCCACCTGGAAGTAGAAGAGTAAGGTTGCAATCTGTGATCAAGAGATCCAGGAATGTTATCGTAGGGGATTCAACTCCAACTTGGACACCATTTTGTGGTTCCCGAAAATCGTTTGCAAGATCTACCCCAAAACTGTGAAATTCTGCGTGTCAGGGTTTGAATTATGTCAACGAGGGCGCCCCACTCAGGTCGGGGGCTCAGCAATACTATCATTCAAAGTGTTAGATAAACAAGACTTCAGGGTCGCATGGTGGACATGATCAGTGAATGGGAGGTTTGCGGTAACACCATTTGAATGATATCTCTTACTAGTGAGTTGTGTGGTTCTGAGATGAACCAGTTGGTTTAACTCGACGTTTCGAACAGTATGCTCTGCTCGTCATCGGGCCCACCGAACTTGGCATCCTGCTCCAGAATCTCCCGTCTCCACTGTCTTAGCATCTACTACTTAAAGTACTACACCAGCAAGAGTCCGGCAGCTCCTGATGACGAGCAGAGCATACTGTTCGAAATGTCGAGTTGAACCGACTCAAAACCACGCAACTCATAGTGAGAGATATCATTCACATGGTGTTACCGCAAACCTCCCATTAATTGAAAGTGTTGGACAGTTGTAGCAGTAGGTTAGACGTAGACTTTTAGTTTGATAGTGAAAAGAAGATGTACATGTATGTAATGTACTTTTATTGCCAAGACAGTTATGCATTGTGATTGTTTGTGTAAGAGGTTTTTTGTTGTATGCAAGGTTCCATCTAGTTTTCTTTTTTCTTTTTTTAATCAAACTTGTTGCCAAATTGCAAGGTTTCCTTTTTATAAATCCTTGATGAGTTTTAAGTTGATACTCGCCAAAACTGGTCACCACCTATCCTAAGTTTGTTATTTGAGGCAACACCCTTGATATTTTCTGGAATAAAAACTTGGAACTCAACACACAAAATGGCACCGAAAACACAGTTTGTCCTTTTATTCCGACATTGATTTTAGTCATCTTCTATACAGACATGTACAATGGTGTAAATATTTCCCAAAAAAATGCTTACAAATACGTAACCTTACCAATTATTTAATAATGGACCGATCCAGTAAGCACCGCCCCATGGTGTTCTGACCAATCACAGCCGTGATTTATGTCCGACGTGCGTGCACTAAAGTCCGACATGCATGCACGCGCGTATAATGCACGCGGAAGGAAAATGCAGCGTGGCATTGGAGAGGAGCGCGTGTTAATTTGCCCACGTGCGCACTGGGCGGAGCTTACTGGTTCGGTCAATTACTAACCTGTCTGGGCGATACACATAATTTAATTAATGGAGCAAGCTTTCTACATGTTTTTACGGAGATAAATATTATTGTACACAACATATTATAAACGGGACCGAACCATTTTTGAATACAAGACGGGAGCTGGTTATAGTGCAAAATTTGACTTGTGCGCAGGAAAGTGGCCAAAGCTGCTCATGAATATTCAACATCCGTGAATATGAATATTCAGTGTTTTGCAGTTTTCGTTGCTAGTAACAATGCATGACATCCAACTTGTAAACAGAGTGGCTGCCGAATTCATTTATAAATGCAATTTGCTATCGATTCAGAATTTGACTTTTAATTTCCCGGACGATGGATCACAGCTAACGATTCGCGCTGGTAACCAAGGCTGGCTACCATCTCTCCTCGTTCATTATTCTGTTGCTATGTCAACAGCCAAGATTACGTAGGCCTAATTACTTTGACGTCATTGTAATTTCTCATGAATAAACATACTTTTCCCTCCCATGGACAACTACTGAATTATTCATGGTTGCCTCACACGCTTAAGGAACAACCCCCCCCCCCACCTTCCATAGCTTTCTTTGCCAATATGCAAAATACAGCACCATAGTCTGAATTTATATTTTAATAGCCTCCACCTTCAGATATCGTACAGAGAAATACTTTAAGAACTCTTCACTTCGCTGTGAATTCTAAGAGGTATACATCTACAATTGAAAAAAGCATATCAACATATTTATAGCAAACGTTAATTTACCTGCAAAGATTACACGAATACGAATCATAAGTCCAATACGTGTCGAAAGTTACTTACAAATACAGTTTTTGTGTGTATATTTATTCCACACCGATCGGTTTTTTTAATACCTTTCCAATAACCTGTGAATTTTGGCGCAGCAACACGCCCGTTCTACGTACCCGTAAAAAATCCAAGTTGTGTACAGTTTTACAAAAATACCATTTCCGTTTTCCTCTCCTTTTGGCAAAAATAACTATGGTACAGTTTTTGTTACACTCCAAGATTTCATTCATCAATACAGCATTCTGATTGGCTGAGAGAAAACCACATGGCCGGCCACGTGGTCATTTGAATACAATGATTGGAGGAAAGTCGTCGATCACGTGACTGTTACAGCCAATTACAGACTAGATTTCAGGCATTTTAAGGAGGTATGAAACTATTATTTTGAGAAACAAATTACTTGTTACTTTCAAGAGTGAATACAATTCATTTGTGAACACAAATACTCGAATAAGTACCTCATCGTTCGGGATCCTTCTCATAATGGTTTCAAAACCATTTCACTTTTTTGGTATGACAACAGATCAGATTATTATTTTCAATGTTGCAGCAACATGAACAAGGACATGTTCCGCAAGTGGGAAACCAATTGGTACAGCCCCAGTGCGATGTTCAGGAAGTTGCTGGTTCAAGTCCGCTCCAGTAAATGTTCTTATACTTTTATGGCCAACTTCAGAGTCTGTTACATCTTACTTGGCACGGAAGCTTCACTTCCGAATGGGGCGCACTAAGCTTTCCGAGCATCTTTCAAACCGGACTGTACTCCTTTTTTGAAAACACTTCATCATGACAAGGGTCTGTTGCATTTTAAATAGCATTAATTTAAATGGGGAACTGCCAACATTGGGCTGGATAGCTCACTAGAGCACCGGAACGGTAATCTGGAGGTCGCAGGTTCAAGCCCACTCCAGTCAATTTCTTTGTTGAACCAAAATAGCATTACTTTAGATAGGACTGTATATATTTGAAAGTATTGTCACTCTGACCAAAAACCTTCCTCTTTTTTTTCTTCAAAATCATTTACCCAATTTACATAATCCATCTTCAGTTGTCATCAGATGAGCTAGCGATGCCAAAGAAAGGGTCCACCTTCCGTTTGCGGCACTTGCGGAGTAGGCGCCGATCGCCGCGCGCTTTGAACGAGTATTGCGACTCTTCCATACCAGGCGCTCCGTGAAAACCGCCCACGTCGGCCTTGGTGCAGTAGACGAACTGACCGTCTGGTGCGTCACTCGTACACCTGGACAAAAAGAAACGAGAAACAGATCATCTTCGGGGTCTTGAAACATTTAGTGAAGTGTTTCAGTTATAGATGAGATATCACAATTTATTTTCAGCAAATAACGAGCCAATATGGCCAATCAGGCCGGCGTTTATATGCGGTTTTCTTGGCATGTTTTAATGCCAGTACCCGTTTATACTTCTGGGTGGAGGGCGGCAAGTGGGGGTGAAGTGGCTTGCCCAAGGACACAACACATGTCCTGCAGCTGGATTCGAACCCCTGACCCTCTGATCATGAATCACGAGCCCTAACCACTGCCAAACTAGGCCACACCCCCAGCAAACAACTGGGTCAGCAAGGCTGAGTCAACATTGGGTGACCTGTGTCAAGTAGTTTGAAATACTTTACCCTACATAACTTATTGGTCCGACATGGGGACACCTGACCAAGATGGCTGCACCAGACAGTCTGGTACCCATAACCTCATTCTGAACCCAGTATTCCCGCGTTGGTCAGACACAGGACACCTGACTTAGATTGCTGCATTGACAGACTCATCATCACTCACCTGCAGTAGTCGTCTCTCCCGTCGCCATCCTCATCCCTCATGTACCAAGTGTCCATCTGGCCTACATCAAATCGCTCTCCGGACACGTAGTTGTACTCGCTTTGGCCAGCTGTACCGGCTATAGCGCAGGCTAGCTGCATCGATGTGTCCAGAAAACGAGTGGACGTTCGCGCCTTGATGATTCTGTTATATAGAGATGCGAGTTAAATGTAATATACAGGGTGGATCAAAGAAGGAAAAAAAACGAAACCGAGATATTATTGCTAATTGGAACCGAAGTAGGGCACATGTGAATCAAAGGGAGATGTCCTTAGGGTTGAATCTCTTCTTTAAAATGACACCCTGATCGTGTCATTACATTCGCGGTTGACTGAGCAGTGACCAGTTTTATGAGAGGGTCTATCTAGAGAATTACGCCACTTTTCAATTGTAGTTTTTGTGGTGTCATTTGTCACAGAGTGAAAGGCTATGGTTGCCAATCAAGGCAGGTAGGGGGAAAAAAAGAGATTTCACCATGAAAAGTTTCATTGTCAAAGACTAATCGCTATATACGAAAAAAACTATCTACTCTTGGAAAAAATTTTTTTTTCTGTTTTGGCGAAGTTTCGAGACTTACCGGCAGTAGTCGTTGGCGGCGCCCTGTCCCGTGACGTCAACCCAGCCCCTGAAGTAGTCCTTCAAGCCAGCGTCTGTGATGTCATAGCGACGAGGTTTGATGGCTGGTCGCTGCTCTCCTTCACAAGGAGAGGCCTCGGGCTCTGGAATAAAAGCACACAAATGAGTAGATATCATGGTCTTGTAGGCATTCATTCTATACACAGGCATGCAACTGGGAAATCGCAAAAAAGAGGAAATTCAAATTTTTTCCAGACTTTGTAAAGTGTTTCTTTATTTTCAATGGCACACATGTGAAGTAAAAAAAGAGGAAATCAGCTGATCCGAGGAAAAGTTGCATGCCTGTATACATTTCCGAAGTGTGACATTTTTTTCCCTGTCTCTGTTACCTTATTAATTTGCCATTCAAGTATTAAATATTGACTTGTAGCTATTTTTTATTTGTTGGGTAGGCAGTTGGCTATTCATAATCACTCTTGGAGGATGACTGCATAAAGGAGTGCATCAAAATGATAATATCATAGATGTCAGGTGCAACAGGGACAGGGAAAAAGTGCACCCCAATTTAAAGAATGACCCATACGAGAGTTTATATATCAGAACCATGAAGTTTGCCTTCAAGCATAATCGTTTCTCTTTTTCCCATTTCATCAAAACATCATTCACCATGTACAAATTCCCTATGTGTTCAACAAACAAAATTGCACCAACCTTTTGCAGTGTGGATATTACACTTTTCGAGAAAACAGTGAAAAACCGTATTCTACCTTTTGATCAGGAAAAAAGATTTCGTCCATATAAAGCAGTCTTTATTTTTTTAAATCAGTCCATTGACCGAACGTTGGATATCACCTACATTTCTTGATTTCTCCTTAATGACAGCAAGCCAGACGGAATAATTTCACAGCGTGTTAAGTACCAGTACGATCTTTAATCCAAATACTTTTTTTCAGTAGTAATTCGACAGGTTACTTTCGGGACCGTATGCAAATGATCTTATAGGCCTATGCCTGTATTGACCGATCCAGTAAGCACCGCCCCATGGTGTTCTGACCAATCACAGCCGCGATTTATGTCCGACGTGCGTGCACTAAAGTCCGACATGCGTGCACGCGCGTATGATGCGCGCGGAAGGAACATGCAGCGTGGCATTGCATTGGAGAGGAGAGCAGGTGTTAATTTCTCCACGTGCGCACTGGGCGGAGCTTACTGGATCGGTCCATAGTAAGACAATCATTACTGGTGCATTGGCAGGAAGTGTTCTCCAATTCAGGCGTCGCCGATGAGTCAACGGTCGCATCGTTGGGCGAAGTGGTCCTGTTGAGGGTGGGGATGGAGACCTCGTTGTCTGATGTAGACGTGGCCGGTTCTTCAAAATTGAAACACAGCAGACGAAACACTATCAGTTAAATTCCCTTTAAAAATGTGCATTTACGGCCGGTTCATGCTCCACGCAAAGGTTAACAAAGAGTGTTGATACCGCGGCAGTTATTTGCGCTGCGAACTACTAAACAATAAAGTTTTACTTTTCAAATATATTTTGCTGAAAATATTTTTAACATCAAATTCGCTTTGGTGTCCCATGAACTAGCTGCAATGATTTGGGAGTGAAATAATAAAATGTAATCTTGATATTGCTGACGGAAACTTTACCTTTTGAAAAAAAACTAGTTCCAGATATTTATTTCGCGTAAATCCATTACCATGCGCCAAAAGAAGCAACATATTTTTTTCAGGAGTTTCATTGATTTCCCATTAACATTTCCATGATTGTAATATCTCAAAATGATGTTGAATTGCTCATAATTTAGTCAATTCTTCGTCCATACGCAACCCACCATACCAAAAATCTCTCTTTAGTCGTCCGAAAAGTTTATACAAGCTGTTCACTAATTGTTTGGTAAACCGTACTCAAACAACTCAAATCCACAACTCTGACTGTGCGAAGTTTTGCAGACCAACATTTAACGGTTTGAAGTCATGAAAAACGGCTTGTTAGTGGACGAATTGTTTTTACCAAACCAAAAATACTCACTGCGAGTGATGTTCACCATCGCGATCGAGGACACCACAAAGAACTCGTTGTTAAACAGGCAGCCATATTTGCCCTCGTGTTGCGGCGCCATCTCAGACACCGACAAATCCCCGCCCACTATGACGTAGGACGGCGCGGCGCTCACGTTGATTGGCTTGTCGTTGAAGAACCACGTGACTTCAGGCGTGGGGTCGCCTGCGGCTGCGCAGACGAGATTCAGCGCGCTGCCGTTCTCGACTGTCGTGTTGGTCAGGCCTTTCGTCAGCTTCAAACTTGGCACTGCGGATCAAATAATTATTTACGTGTAGAAATTGCAGAAATCTTCTAAACAATGAATGCTCAGTGCTTCCCTAGAGCTCGTAAAAGGTTCAGACTTTTAGCAGAACCCTTGTGCTTATTCGACATAAAAACTTGATTTGCTAATTGATTTTATTTCAATACACACAAGTATTTACGATGGAGTTGTAACTTCTGTCATCTCTTTCCTCCGAAAGCAGATCCGGCTGGAGACTGACATTCCGTGTCATTCGGATAGAAATCCGAAAAAATATAAGAGTTCTTCAAACGATATCATTGTTGTGACTTTACATGTTTTCGTCACAAAACCGGACAGCCGACGTAAAAATATATTTATAGCTGCTTTCCAAAAGTAATTAAGTACACCGGCTTAACTTTTCGACCTGCGGGATTGATTCTATTTTAACCACATATCCCTTTTCAACGGCTATTATAATAAAAAGTTATGGCTTTAATACAGGCATATCCTTACCAACGACACGAAGCTCTCCCTTCTCTCTCTTGATCCCGTTCACGTTAGCCGCCACGCAGCTGTAAGTCCCCGAATCACGCAGGTTCACGTTACTCACGCTAAGCTCCTCCCCGCTCTCGCTCACCACGAACCTCTCGTCCATTAGCGTCTCGATGCTCAGGTCCTGCAGGAACCACGTGACCTGAGGGGCGGGGTCGCCCGAGGCTTGGCAGGACATGCGCACATCGTCGCCCACGAAGGCAGTCTGGTTGGGCAAGGGGGCGGTAATACTCGGCAGTTGCCACTGCTCTGAAATAATTTGGGAGAAACAATCTTCAAAGATTATTTCCGAACTTGACTTTTGCTTTTTTCTAGATTATAGAGGACACAATAGGAAGGCGATATGGGTAAACTCTCTTGTACCCAAGTTTATCCACTCGAAATGTTAGCCTTATCGTGTCCGATATTGGATCTTAAAAAGGCTAAGGCCCAGCCTCATGTCAGCCTGCGATTTGCTATACGCCGGCTGATGCCGATCGTCTTAAAATCGTCGCAGTTGCACCAAGGTCACCAAAAATCGTCGACTGATGTGTTCCCGGCGGTCGTAGCTCACTCCACAACTTGATCCTGAAAAGTCAGTCTCCAACACGCCCCTCACTTATACAGGCTGCATGATACTTACATGTATTAATTATCCTTAGCGATCCTTATCGAATTTGACTCCACAAACTACAAATCTGCTGTCCATGGGCGGCAATTCCAGGAGGATAAGGGACATCCCCCACACCAATAAATGTTGGGCTGCTAAAACCCCGTCCTAAAATGTTGACAAGAAATCGCCGCGGCTGCTGCTGTTGTAATTCAGCAGAGATTTGAAATGTTTTATTTTTTGCAGAGCTTACCTATTGCCAAAACATAACAAATTTCTAGGAACCGGCGTCTAGCTATTAAACAAATCGTATAAAACTAACCTAGCTACCTACTAATTCCTGCAGTGCTGACTTAACACAATGTAATTGCCAAAACGCACGTGCGCCTCAAATTCAAACGTGCATGTTTCGCGTGAGCGTACTGCCGCATCATGTCTTGAAACTGTAACTGCCGTATTTAGTCTCTTCTTGTATCCATCCAACAACACTCACCGATAACTTGAAGATTGGCACTCGCCGAGATAGACCCCGCGTCGTTGGCAATCTCGCAATGGTACACGAATTCCTTATCTGCTGGCTCGACACTAGCGATTCGAAACGAACGTGTCTCCTCGTCGACCGAGTAGCGAGGGTGGCCATCGAAGGGCATGCTGATATTCTACATCGAAATTAAGTCGAAAAGAAGCAGATATTATTTAGTTTTTAGTTGAAAAAAATACCAATACACAACGTCCACTAATTTCGTCTTTGATTCTTAATTGAACACGTTTAAGTATGGCACCATTTTGAGCAAGTTCGATCTATGACAAAATGGTTCAGATTCATGAGGTACCTTACGCCTGCGCAGTGCGCATTACTCAAAACGTACAGACCTCTGTTCAAAATATGCTTATTATGGTCATTCATTCATTCATTTTAGACATAGGCTTTTGCCCGTGGTCTCCTCAAAATATACACAGCTGGAACCACTAGCTCCGCTTTATGATTGTCAGAGTCTTGCAGGTCTGGTACCCAGACTTAAATACCTACCCTGCCGTTCTCAATACGCCAGGTGACGTTCAGCGGTTCAGTGCCTCGCGCGTCGCACCTGAGTGTGACGTCATCACCCTGGTTGACTGTCTTACTGATTGGCTTCTCATTCCATCGGGGTGGTACTGAAGATTATGGGAGAAAAAATAGGCATTTGTTCTAAAAGTTTTGATATTTTTTTCTGCAGCTGGGTCTAGGCCTACTGTTCTTGTGATCAGTCTTGAGGTTGCATAAATAGTTTCTTTATTTTTTCCTCTGTTTTTTTGGCGAGCGCTTTTTCTTTTCTTGCTAAAAAAATATTACTAATAATTTATTAAATCGAGTTTTGCTTCCAAAGGCAACAGGTTTTGTTAGCAGTAATTAACTATGTCGCTCTTTCAGCATTTATCTTCTTCACTGAATTCGCTGATACGTTGTCTTGAAATAGTGAGCAGTGACAGGATGAAGCCACACGAAAGCACGAAAGTGCAATCGCAACAGCAAAATAAGAGTATTAAGTACAGCATATGCTTTTAAAGAAGTTGACGGTTTATTTGAGAACGAAGTACCACTGCGAAATAATTACGACCGACGGTCCATGAAATCAGAAGATTGTATCAGCTTCTGACAAGAAGATAGACAGAAAGTAAAGATGTGGCTGCAATTTATAGTTGCTTTGGTAACAGAAATGCCAAACCTTCACAAGCCAATCGCAAGTCATTTATAACGTCAGTGTTTATCATCATTTTGTGACCCTACTTGTGACTGACTCATGATTTGACTTGTGATTAACTTGCGATGGACTTGGCAAAAAGTATGACTTATTAGATATCACGCACAAAAGGTTAATATCAACAAAATTAATGTCTAAATGTGATACCTGAACGAAAAATTCAGCTGACAAAGAAAATAACAGATAATCTAATGCTGATGAAAACAGAAAGACACCAAACACCAAACCTGTGGCGTGATATAGAATGATTAAAAACTGACAGTGTTGAGAGTATTTTTAGGATGAAAACATGTCCCACGAGAAACCAAAATGGATGACACATTGATGATAGCACACCACAACCGAATGAAAAGAAACTGCCGTTTACTACTGGTGGGAGAAAATGGAAAGTGATTTTACAAAACTGAAATGGAGGCATAAAATAGGAAAGGAAAAGGAACGAGCTTCACCTCTTCCCTGAAAATGAAAAACATAAATAATGTTATGAAATGATAAAGAAAAAAGATGAAAGCTGAGAAACGATTTCGTGATATTTGCAGAAGGAGCATGAAACACCAGATGATAAAAGGATGATCTAAGAAGCGTTTGGAGAGGAGACTACCATTCCCACTCTTGGTGACGAAACCACACAAGAGCGTGACGCTCGAGCACACAGACCCAGAAAGTGATGAGGTCACACACGCGCAAACCACAAACCCAACCAATCGGCGACGTACCATTCACCGTCAGACTGAACACGCTGCTTTCGTTTCCCGCCGTGCCTTGCGTGACACATCGATACTCCGATGTGTCGTTGGGTTGGATGTCGGAGAGGGTCAATTTGGATATGACGTCATTGGTGCCATCCACGCTAGTCTCCATCATGCCGTCGAGGGTTATTCTGGTAAAACAACAGACCGTTCAGTCCTAATTTTGAAAGCTGCTATGTTAATTCGATGTTGTCATTATTGTTGATACATGAAATGGTGTGTAGAAAGCAAATATATTATAGAGCTGCCCTGCCTTATCCATGAGGTTGTTTATAATGTAGCCTAGTCGTATTTAAACATTCCTGCCTAAAGATCTCCTGTTACCGCTTGCTCTGGGTTTAAATATCTTCCAGCCCTACATCTCCTATAGGCCCTAGTACTTGTGCTCAGGCATTTCATAATAATTATCTTCCTGAGCAGATCAGAATCAATGGCCTGGTCTAACTAATTTACTGTGTTTTGTATAACCTCACTGAAAATACTCATTTCGCTGCAAGCATCTCATTATGTGCTGCACACGTTCCTCTGGGAAAATATCTCTTTAATATATCTCTTTTATAACTAATAATCCAGTTGTAACAACCTGAGGTTAACACGTGAGGTTTTATCAACACGGAAAACCACATCTTATATGAGGTTTGCATTTTCTTCCAATTCTTTCCAATGTCCTCCGGCCCATCATCTTCCAATAATATACTTTAACTTTAATAGCAAATAAACCGCTTTCTCTTTAGTATACCACTCTCTCGTATAACCTCACTAACAATAGCCTCAACGATGAGGTTCATATAGTTTCCCCCACCGAAATGTACCTCTTTCCCAACAGATCATCTATTAAAACCCTTCCATTACAGCCAACAACCTTTCAAGTTACTCCAGTGAAACCTCTCTGACATGAACCTTTACTTTGAGGTAGCAAGTAAAGTCTGCAGTGTCACGAGCTAATATGGCCGTTTATCTCCGGTTTCCTTAGTATGAAACGACTGAGAATACATTATATTCCCCCTTTCCCCTATTCCCCTATTTCTATGCCAGTCCATCGCAGGTTAGACCCCACATAATGCCCTTACCGTATACATTTATACTCCTGGCTGGAGAGGCAAGTGGCCGGGGTGAAGTGGCTTGCCCAAGGACACAACATATGGCCAGCAGCTTAATTCGAACCACCGACACTCTGATCATGAGTCAAAAACCCAAACCACTAGGCCACACTCCCCCATATACTCGTTATCACCTCTAAATAAAACCAATTCTTTAAATTACCACCCTACCCAGGTGAAACCTCACGGACAACAGACTTTAGATATTTTCTTGTCGTTCCGGTGTTCTATACCTGTCTTCTGGCAGATTGCCTCCTATTTTCTCCCAGTGTATACTCGGTAGAGGAAAGCCGGATGCTGCGCAGGACCACGTGATCGCCTCCCCAACGTTGACCGAGGTGTTCCTTGTCGGGGGTCGGTATAAAGTCAGAGGTACTGCATGGCAGACGTGATTATAAAAAGTTGAACCTCATCAACAAAAAAGCAAGAGGCTTATTTGTTCACAACGGTAGGCTCGATTTACCAAGAAAAGAAGATACCTCTTGTTACATACAACCATCAAAACTTCTAATCAAAACATCAACCTATTCAAAAGATCCTACCATTTCAAGTCATAATTTTTTTGAAAGGACTCAACCAGGAACATAAACGTCAGAGTAAGGAAGATCTTTACACCGGATGAGAGTCACACAGTTTAGAGACTTACCGAGTACTTTGACGTGAACCATTTCGGTTGTGGATCCAAGTGAGTTGGTTGCTTTGCAAAAATAGATGCCAGAGTCTGAGGTACTGGCTGATTCCACGGATAGGAAGGCCATGGTCCCGTTACGCCTATACACAAACATCAAGAATAATAATACCAGAATAAAAGACACTTGGTAAGATTAAATGTCAGTTTGCCATTTTTATAAAGAAAATCTATTCATGGGTTTGTTAATTAAAGCCTGTGGATGCATCGAATATCCATCAACAGGGATCGATGTAGTTGAGTCCATCACAAGTCCCTGTATAATGTCCCTGCAAGTCCATCACAGGTCCACTTGTTCCAGTTCAATCACACACTTATTCAAATCAGCTTTGGCAATGGCATTCCTTGGTTATTGTTCAGCCACTGTTCTTTGTGACTGGATTTGTGATCTTATGACTGGGCTTGCGATGGACTCGATTAAATCCCTGCCTCTGCAACAGGAACGAACGGACCAAGCATGGGTGAACGGCATAAATGGCGCATAGGATAGGAGTGCTTCGAAAAGTAGCATTGGAGAGGCGCACGTGTTGTTTCCCACGTGCGCAGTGGGCGGGGCCCTAATCGGTCAGTCTACTGAGTGTCTAACAAGACCTTTCACATTTCTTCACCTCATGAGAACTCGTTTTCCGTCCTTCCGTTCCCACGTCACTCTAGGCTGTGGCGACCCCGTGGCCTGGCAGGTCAGCTTGAATGGCTCCCCTCGATTCAGGGTCACATTGACCGACATCTGCGTTATCTGTGGCTTGGCTGGAATCAGAAGCAGGGGAAGTACTTGACTTCAAATCTTTCAGTTGACTCAAGTACGGTGAGACATATGATTAAACGGTAGTCAAGTTACTCTAGGAAGTGTCAAGAGTCAGACTGTTGACCCCTATGGGACAACTTCTAGGGTCCAGTTGCTGACATATGGTCAAACTATGACCCCTTATGAGTCAAACGTTTGACACTTGTGGGTTAGCTGTATATTTATCAATCTTGGACAGGTCAAGGGATGCAGACAGTGGACCCCTATTGATCTCTCATGGACCAGACTTTTGACTATCATGGGTCAGAATATGAGACCTTAATTGGTAAGACTGTTGATCATCACGTGTCAGACAGTTGACCCTTATGGGTCAGACTATTGAACCTCGTGAATGAGACGGTTGGCCCTCATGGGTCAGACTGTAAACCTAAAAGAGTCATACTTTTTATCTCTTACGAGTCAAACTACCCTTGTGACTAAGACTTTAACTCTGCACAGGGAAGTCTTGTTCAGACTGATGACCTTCCGATATACTGTCATCTGCTATGTTGGTTAAACTGTGACCGAAATGGGTCAGAGTGCTGACCCTTTATAGACTGCTCATCCCATGTAGGTCAGAGCTCTTAGATCTTATCCATGAGTGGTCTGACTTTTCCCAGCTCAAACTTTGATGCCTCCTGACAGTTAAAATCTTACGTTAAGGGTACGGTAGGACTGTTGTCCCTGATTGGTCAGAATTTTTGCCATTAATGGGCTGACTGTAGATGCTAAAAACCTTATGTGTTAGATTGTTGACCTTCAATCTTGTTGGTCGGACATTTACCCTAACAGGCCCGATTGACGGATTACTCGTTTTGGAAAGAGTCTTGACTCTCACAAGTCAGCCATGATGTATCTCTCCTGGGTTCAGGCAACCGCATCTTAACTCCTCATGACTCGGACTGTGACCCCACCAGGATCACAACTAAGCATCTTACCCATGACAGTGATCTTGGCAGTAGCCGCTGTATGTCCCGCATCGTTCTCGGCGAGACACTTGTATAAACCCGAGTCTTGTCTGGTCAGGTTGTGTAGCACCAAGGTGGCCCCACTCTCTAGCACCATCTCGCTGACTATCCTAACGATCAAGGGTCAAAGCAAAGGCCAAAGGTCATATTAAGGTAACTTCTGATCTCGGTGTTCTACTTATTTCTCATTTTGTATAACGTTAAGACAAATAAAACAAGTTGGCCACCGACTTAAAGTTCTTATAACCAAACCATAAGCTTTCAAATTGTAATCATTCATGAAATTTTACTCACGATTGGCTTGGGTGAGTAAAATATTGCTAGATGCAATATAAAATGGTAATCGTTAAAGTTCGCGCCAACTCAAAAACTGAACAATGCTTACTTTTCCTCTGGCATGCTGCCATCAACGCGCGACCACGTGTACTCAAGGGCGCCCTCTGCGTGGCATTTGAGCGTCGCCCCTTGTCCCTGGGCGATCATGATATCCTGCGGGGCACCGTCCATGACTGGTACCCGCGATGGCGTGACGGTAGACGTGGTTCCCGCTGTCGTCGTGGTGTCCATCTGCTTGTCCACTGTTGTGGTCACATCATCTGAACATGAGAAAGCACGGGGGTCAAAGGTCACACTTTAGGAATGTTTAATTTTAAATAAAGTTTTCGGCAAAGAGGACATGAGTTGGTTGTTCGTGAGAAGTTGAGAAACATAAAATATTTCACTGCAGTTTCGGCAGCGTTCTTCCACATCCATTACACCAAAATAAATTGAAAAGGAGGCCTAACAACAAATGGTAAAGTAATTAAGTGACAATTGTTTTGATATCAACTGTTAGCATGCAAGTGAAACATTAACAAACAATACAGACCAATGTTAATTGGCAGGTGAACCATGCAGGAGGCAAGGATTTAATGTTATAGTGCATATCTCAAAGGTTTTCATGCAGATACTGTCATGCATCACGTGGGTGAATTAAATGTATAAACAATTAGGGTGCATATCTGAAGTACATTGAATCCGAAATGAATTGAAGATGGAAACTTGCTGGACATATACTCCTTCACAGATGTTACAGTTAGGTTTAACTGTGGTGTATATAAAGAATTAAATGTAATGGTAAATTAATGCGTAATCAGTGACATTATGTCGAATGACTCCGAATGTAGTGAAATGGTGCAGTGACGTCATGGGCAGGTGTGCTGATGAAACCATGATGATGATGATGAAAAAGTGTGGTGGTGACGTCATGAATACGTAACAATATTTTCACCTTTCTTTTCATCAAATCCCATGCCGCAGGTGCGCAGACACTCCTCCTTGGACGCGAAACGGTTCTGGTTGCCGAAGCAACCGCCGTACGTGAACGGCTGGCATGTCCCCGCGCCGGTATTGAAATACCAGTAGGGGTAGTAGGTCTGGCACGGGCCCACCTCTTTGTGAAAGCCGCAGTACTCTGGAGGAAGGAAACGGGGAACAAACAAATCCAAAATGCAATACAGGGAGGTCGGGACGAGCAGTTAGTAAGAGGAACTTCAAGCGAAAAGCAACAACTTGAACTGAGACCGGTCATTTCAAATACCTCTGAGAATGACGTCACTTCCTGTTGATGTCCGTGGACACTTTGCATTGAAGCATAAGATGTAGAAATATTACCCATGATGCAAAGTTAACACGTGTACAAAATTGCCAAGGAATTCATGCATTTAAAAATTGTTCCGCAACGACATGCTCTTTTTTGTTTTAGGGGAGGAGAGATTTTTCAACTACACACCTGATTTGCAGGACAAATTTAAGGACGCTAAGTCATGCCAATATCGCTAGGGAGGGGCTAGCAAAAGGGGGGTATCTTTACTTCAACCTGGTCTTAATGTCAAGGGTTGAACATGTTCGAGAGTTCAAGTCATAAGAGCCTGAGTTACAAACAAATACCGTGTTGCAAGTGCAAAAGATCGGATTCTAGTCATTTTATACTAGGACTTTAGGTGGAGTCAGTGTCAGAACATACTGCTCAGTTTTAAGTTCAAAGTACAGAGCTTCAGTCCGTGAAAGTCTGAGCCATGAAACTTTACACTCGCTTTAAGTATTAAACGATGACAGTTCGAAACAGAATCATCAACAGGTTTGACTTGGAGTGTAATTTAGTACTTTTATTTAAGGTCGATCTCAAGCCACTCAACAACTATTGGTTGGAGTGATGCGTCATCACGTCTGGTTGGTTCAGGCAAGTCAAATGGTCCCCAAATTATCATTTGTCTTCTACCTGGTCTTGGTGGTTCATAACTGATGCATCTCTCTCGCTTCTCTCCCTTTCGAGACTCGGGGAGGTTCTCGCAGGTTAGCTCTTCGGGCCAGGGGAACCCGTGGGAGTTAAGGGTCGACTCGCAATCACGACGAGCCTGAAAAAATAAAATAAAAGAAGGGTGGTTGTTGATATTTATAGTTCCTTATTGAAGGACATGTTTGATGCTTGCCAATTGGCTCCGAGTTTTTACAAGTTCACATCACTGAGTCGTCAATTCTTCACAATTCAATTACAAAAGCAGGTGAAAAGCTATTCAGAAGAGCTACGACAAAAGTCAATTCTTTATATTGATCAGTCCTTGTGACCTGACTTATGATTGACTTGTGACTCACTTGTGATTGACTTGTGACTGACTTGTGTTTGACTTGTGACTGACTTGTGATTGACTTGTGATTGACTTGTGACTGACTTGTGACTGACTTGTGATTGACTTGTGATTGACTTGTGATTGACTTGTGATTGACTTGTGATTGACTTGTGATTGACTTGTGATTGACTTGTGATTGACTTGTGATTGACTTGTGATTGACTTGGGTTTGACTTGTGATTGACTTGTGATTGACTTGTGATTGAATATGATTGACTTTTGACTGACTTGTGATTGACTTGTGATTGACCTGTGATTGACTTATGACTGACTTGTGACTGACTTGTAATTGACCTGTGACCGACTTTTGATTGACTTGTGACTTGTGGCTAACTTGTGATTGACTTGTGATTGACTTGTGACTGACTTGCGATTCACTTATTAAAGATTTATGATGTACTTGAATAAAATTCTCTTTTGCGAAAATAATGCTGTCGAGGCTGCCAGCTTTAAAAAAAAAAACCCAATATTTGCAGCTTTTTGTGGTAGGTCTATGTTCCAATTTTCAAGAACCAAAATCGAAATAAATCGCTGTAGTTGTTTTTGACTCCCACCTTTTCCACAGCACTTTGTATTGGCAGAAACGACTGGATTTCGACCAATGCCCAAAACCTCATTATTTGTCGACTGCGGTAGGTTGTTTTAGACAAGAAAGTAGTGTTTCATTGAGTCAGGACATAACGAAGGGTTTTCGGTCTCAATTGTTGAACACACACAAATACTCCAGTCTTTATATCTTACGTATCCATTATTGCTTCAGGGCAGAACATTGTATCACCTTTCCTTATTTCTGTATGTTGTGTTCGACTTAAAGCCATCGACAAAATAGCACTGATGATTAAAAATTCGCTTCGTCGGGAAAAGTCAAAGGTTTGCACCTGTGTGGCCTCGTGCAAAATCCCCAAAAGTATGAATATTACACCTGGAAAGCCTTGACATTATCACCTGGACGCTACGGCCAATTTGCCTCGAATCCCCGAGTGACCAAGCAACACCGAGTATCTCGCCAGCCCCAGCTGCAGAAACACGAGATGATGACTTTGATGGAGGGTCGTCACCCAGAGTGACACTTGGAAAATTAAAGTGTTTACGGCGACAAATTGAGTGCTATTGCAGTTCACTCGCGCAGTAAAAAAAAAAGCGGATTACATTTCTTGCTGCGACACTCAAAACTAATATGCTTACATTTACTCTCTTACTTCCTAAGTTTGAAAAGTCACACTATCCGACTGAAACTAGCGACGGGACGTTTTACGGTGAAATGTATTCAATCGAAGAGATTTAGTTTCCACTCCAGTACCGTCTACTTTCCAAGCTGTTTAAGCCTAACGAAGTAATTGTCACCGTAAATCGTCTAGTACCTACTTAGAGTCGGTGACGGAGTGTAAGTTTACTCTTTAGAAATAAGAAAGTAAGTGAAGAAATCCCGCTAATGGCGAACACAATTTCACATGTATATATAAGGAGTGCTGCCTTCCGAACATATGGCGTGCAAATTTAACAGTCAATTTCGAAATCAGGAGCGATATTTCTATTTCTAACACAGATAGCTCTATTTCTAATAGAGATATCTCTATTTCTAAAAAAAAACATACCTCTGTTTTTAATAGAGATATCTCCATTTCTAATAGAAATATTTCTATTTCTAACAGAAATACAAATATCTCCATTTTTAATATAGATATCTCTTTTTGTGGGATAACTTGGCACGCCCAAACATGTGCCCATCGTATAACTATAAGGCTATGTGCTAAGGTGTTAGCGCAGAATTTCTTGGCTGGCCCAAGTACAATCAGTTATCATAATACGTTGTCTTCTGTGGAACCATGATATTAAATTGAGTCCTGCTGATATCTCATTCGTTGCTTTTGAGCTCTTCCACCAACGTTTCGGTCGGAACGCTTTGGTCTTCTTCAAACGTACATCCCGAGTCACGCAAAACAAAGAAAATCAGGGGTGGATCCAGAGTTGTTCTAAAGGGAGTGGTGGCAGTGTCGAAGTCAATACAGATATAGGCCCTAAGACCTAAGAACAGAGATTCACAATATTGTTTTCTGGTTTGTTCCAATGAAACTGAAATGACTTACATTGTTTAGATATTACGGGATGATAAGCCATCATCATGACCTACAAACCCAGCCTTCACAAATTTGAGTCATGTTGAATTAATTTCCGGGTATACGGTTCTGACTCGATCAAAACGATGTGATTCGATGAACTATATAAACTTGGCCGGCCTTGAACTTTGACGGACAAACTTGTCAAGTTGAATAAAGTGATTTTGTGGAGTTTCAAATTTGACAAGATGTGACTTGACAGTGCGACATTCAAGAACATGCTCCCTCTTTCGGAACCTTTTTCCTGGGGTGACGACCTATCTTGTCAAAAGGACAATTTGACAGCATGTCATTTCTGACACCCCGTTAACATGTGTCAGTATGATTATCATCATGTTCGAAGCACACAAACAAAAACCACACAATCTTTAAATATAGATTTGGATTTTGGTTTCGTAATCATCGTCATCTAAGTAGGCTCGCTCTACCTTATTTAAGTTATGTATAGTATTTACAACCATGCTTTTCAAAACAATTATGACGACGACTGTCCCATAATGGTTACACCTCTATGTTCCGACGCATATATGTTCCGACACACCTGTTCCGACACCTTGATGTTCCGACTGCACGTATAGGCCTATTCCTATTCCTAACCCTAACAGGGAGTAACACAACTTAATTGCGGTTTGTCGGAACTGATATGGGTGTCGGAACATAGGCCATGGGTGTCGGAACATAGGCCAGTCACCTCCCATAATTGCAACTTCACATGCATGCACCATTCACGTGTAGTGCGATGGATTTGCATCGAGAAACGTTTTCTAAGTCAAAACAAATTAGGCTATCCTCTTATACAGTTTCATAATCTCTTGCGAACATCACCATCATTCCAATGGTGACGTTTACTCAACATTAGTCAGATCATTACAAGTTCGACTGGGACGAAATCAGATACGCCACATGGAGTGAATGTCTCTCAAAAGACGTGACTCAGTCTCGAAGGAACTAAATAAGTGAACACAACGTTCTCCATAAACACTCTCAAAGTCCAAAGTTTCAGCTCAGTGGATATTACACTTTTCGAGAAACAGTGCGAAACCATGCACAAACTTTTTATCACGAAACACTATTTTGTCAATAGCACTCCCCCCCACCACCACAAAAAAATTCAGTCAATTTACTTATCATTGGCAATCCCATTTTTGATTTCTTCCAAATGACAGCAAGCCAGACGGAATGATTTCACGGGGTGTTTAGTACCAGTACGATCTTCAATCCAAGAAAGCCTTTTTGATAAAATTCGCTAGGTTACTTTGGAGATAAATGCAAATGATCCTATGCCTTTTACGAGACAGTCACTTCACATGGTGCATTTTCAAATCTTCCCTAAAGTGAAACTTCCCACCACGCGAAGCCTCCAAATCTAATTAACTTTTCAATTACTTGATATGTGTAAAAATCACTGAAAAGCCTGTTAAAAATATACCAAATCGGCAAGATATAAAACCAAGACGAAAACTGCAAAGTTATGGCTGGACACGCGAGGTTAAACGAAGGTCAGATACACATCATGCCGGTGATTATTTGAACGAGAAACCGAACTCGTAACTTGTCAAAGAGCATTACGCTGGGTCCCGGTTTAATGCAAACCAGATTGTATAATGCGCAACATTTCATACCTGCCAAGAATTCGGCGTACATTCACGGATCATTGCCAAATATGGCTAGGATTGGGCACAATTTATTTAGTACACTTCTTTACTCAGGGTGTGCCCAAACAGTTTTAAAACTGGTTTCCATTAGGGCCCTGCATGCATTACAAATTTTTAAAATAAAGTGAAACAAAGTAAGCAAAAATTACATTCGGAACAGGCTGCGAATATTAATACTTACAAATACCAGTACTTTGGAAATATTTACACATAAATCACAAGTTCATTTAAACGTTCAGGTAAAATGGCACAAATTCTTGATTATGGGACGGGCGAAAACCCCGCAAAAAACCTTCTTGGAAAAACCACGGGGAAATTCCCGATTCGGCTCCAAATTGCCAAAATAAAATTGGATTATGTCCTGTCCTAGCTGGAATGTATTTTGAGCGACTGGGTTTAACTCAATTTTCTGTCTGGTATAAAATCCATTTATAAGTTGCCCTTTTCTCCAAGCTATCACAGGGGAGTTTATTTCTGTAAGTCGCTCAAGTTCTCTTTTCCCCTCTTGAACTTTTGGTTAACTTTTAAGAAAGAATTTTTTTCCAACTTGACGAACGACGTTTCTCAAGACATTTATTCCAGTTTCCCCGGATTTTTACATTGTTTGATTTGTATGCCTTCATATTCCACAATAAAATATAATTTCATTTTTCAGAAAATGTTCATACCTTGTCAGAATTTTTGTTTTACTTTCTATAAGGCTGCACCTAAAATGAAAGTGGGACGTTTTGTTTCTTTCCAATTCATTTTTATGAGATCGTAAAGTAGATTGCAAACCTCTTTCATGAAGAACACCCACTGCATATAGTTATATCAACAATCACATTTGCGTGCACCCATCACTGAAAATATTTCCCCTAAGAAAAATATGAGATGACTGGCAGGTAATACTTTGCACACCTGGTGGCAACATGCCGAGTTCAAAACCTCAATTACTGCTACACCTCAGCACAGA